AATAGAGTTAGTTTATATTAGCGCGTTATTTATATATAGTAACTTAATTAATTTAGCTTTAAAGTTAGCTTTAGATTTTAGCTATAATATAATAATATAATATCGTATAGATATAATTTTTAGTTTATTAAACTCGTAATTAGTTACTCTATTACGCGCACGTATTAAAGTTATATATATCGCGTTATATTATAAGTTAGTATTTATATAGCTATAGAAACCTATAGATTTCCGCCGAATTTAGTTAGACTAATAGGCGTCGCGTTAAGCTAATTATTAAAAGCTACATCAAAATTTGACTAGCATTGACTAAACAGCACGTGATTGGCAGGCGCGAAAAGCCAAGTCGGGCTGAGTAGGAGACAGGCTTGGCGGTCCAAGTTCGGAAACATCTGTGCTTATGCGGCACGCTTATCTCCAACAGCAGGTGTGACACAATTCCGCGCGAGCACTTTAAACAAATGGTGAGTGAAATGCAGTGCAGGGCCAAGTACATGGTTCTGCAAGTGTCTCGGACGAGTCGCGTCACTCAGGACCTCCTACATGGCATCCAATCGGGTCTTTGTACCACACCATGATCATTCTTACACGCACTCTGGCGAAGCACAGCGGTGAAGCTTTGCCACGAAGATCTTCAGGAAGTGCATATGCAAGCAGATCCATCGATATTGAGATCCGGACAGCCAACAATCGAAACGCCGACGAGATGATGACGATGCAACTCTTTCACGTCTTAAACGCCACGTCAAACTTGACCAAATCTGGATAATCCACTTACGGCACTTGCATTCCACTAACCTAACTCAATGTGTTGTCTGACATCAGCTTTCGCAATGTGCTGTCCTACAGACCCAGCGTTTCATACACTTTTTCTATCATACATCTCGAATGGCCTTATAGAGAAGCCCGGACGCGAGACTGGCTAGATCAGACCCACTGAATACTGCGTGAGCTCTCAATAATGGACTACACATCGTACATATTCTCCAACCCTCCTTCGGATGTCAACACTCCAGTGTGTATTGGCAACGATTTCGTCTGGGAAGTACGACCTGACAAGATCGCTATAGATTCTTATCGATGCAAGCAAGCCAGAGCGAAGGCTCACGTGGAAAGAGTATGCGTCCGGAGTAAAACGAGTTGCTGTGGGACTGCAGTCGATCGGACTACGTGAGCAAGAATGTGTGGCCCTCGTTGCTGAGAACGATATCTACAGCGCTGTTCTTGGAGACGGCGTTGTGGCTGCTGGTGCAATTCTCGCCAGTCCGCCACCCAATGCGTCGCGTCGAGAACTGGTCGCGGCACTACAAGCAGCTCATGTGGACTGGATCTTTGCCGAAGCCAGCTGTCTCGAACGAGTAAGAGCGGCTGCGGTCGAATCTGGAGTCGGCGCTGAACGGATACTCTTGTTTGATCCGCCTGATGGCGAGCAAGGTGTTCAAGCAGAACTGACTGATGAGCAATCACGGCGCTCGTTGAGCGCACTAAGCTCCAGCAATGAAGAAAAGTACTCCAACCCGAACACTGCAAAGAGTCCGGAGCTTTTGATAGCAAGCAGGTTATTCACGAGTGGCACGACTGGCGAGGCTAAAGCTGCAGAAGTTTCACATACGGCCACTTTGCAACGGTTGCATGATAGCACCTGGTCGTCCGGAGGGTTCCTGAAGAATCTTCATTTCATTGGCATGCATCATGTCAGTGGCACCACAGTCCGCCAGAGAGCTGCTGCTGCAGGGCATTGCAGCACGATCGCCAGAGTCCAGGATCCTACGCAAATAGTCGATCTGATCAAGCGATACCAGATTCAGAGCACCATGCTTCCTCCTCGCACTATGATCGCAATCAGCAGACTTCTTCAGGACGGAATCAGGCAGAAGGAGGACCTCGATTCCCTAAGGCTTGTCAACGTGGGCGGAAGTGGAATTAGGAATCATGCCTTGGACGAGTTCAAAGGGATGCTGCACCAGGAGGCAGTTCTACAGCCTGTATACGGATCTACCGAGTCTGGTCTGGTCTCTCGGCGACAATGGACCGGTTCGAAAGAGTTCTCATCGGAGGGCTTTGTGGGAACCATAGCGCGTACTGCACGGGTGAAGATTGTTGATCCAGAGACTGACCGCACGCTTGGGCATGATGTTGATGGCGAAATTTGCATAACATCAGAGGGCGTCTTCAATCTTTATTGCGGCAATGAAGAAGCCACCAATTCGGTCTTTCTGTTCGACCCAGATGGCACACGTTGGCTCCGCACGGGCGACAAAGGAAGACTATCTGCCAAGAACGAAGTATTTGTGACCGGACGTTATAAGGAAGTCTTCAAAGTTGGTACAGAAGAGGTGGCACCGGTAGAAGTGGATAGTACGCTGCTTGATCATCCGGCTGTGAAAGATGCAGCAGTCGTCAAGACACCCGACCGCAACGACCCTGCTTACAATGAAGTGAAGGCTTACGTTGTTAGCGAGAGCGGCGTGGATGTAACTCCGCAAGAGATCGTCAATCACGTGGCTGAGAATTTGTCGGCCCACAAAGCACCTACTGGAGGTGTCTCATTCACCGAAAGCATACCACGGAATGCAATGAAAAAAGTAGTCCGGAGTGACCTCGAGAATATTCCAACTCTGCCAGGATCTGCCGAGTATTTGACAGTCGAGACGTGAAAGAGGCTTGGTGGTCAGCGCACAGGCTACTGCGATGCAACAGAGCACACAACTCCAAGGGCTGCTACACGTTTCAACGATCTCACCACCCAATTGTGCAACCAAATGATAAATCTCTTTCTGGCATGATATTTCGCTTTTGGATCTCGAGAGCATGCGATGCTTATCGAGACCTGCTGTATACCTGTCGATTTGGTCTCCTATGCTACGAAATCGTGATATTGCAGCAAGTCTGCATCGGTCTCCCACAATATGAGGCACCGATACAGCGTTGCACGGGAGCAGCCACGGCAAGATTCATTGCTGGCGGGTGCCAAGCTCCTCGAACGCTTACAAGGCTGCGCGCTATAATAATTGTGCTCAAAGATCGCCCCTTCAAGGTTTGACAGATTCGCGATGGCTCGGGCCTGCTCATCATTCATCGTCATGAGGCTCCGCAAGGATGCACAAGGCGCGGTGTTGTCGAACTTTGTGCACGATACGAAGATCTTGGCCGCGTCAGTGTTTGCACTTCCGTCATCGACAATGCGCCTCACATTCGGATTTCTTCGTAAAGCTGCAGGGCAAAGGTATCTGCCTCGGAGATACTGGCCGTCACAATGCACATCGCCAACGATGTTTCTACGTCCGTGTACGTACTGTACGGTCGGCATCGCGATACATGCATGCCTGTCGAGCAAAGACACACAGTAAAGCAAGCATGATGTGTTGATAGCTCTCATTCATCAAAATATCAACATGGAACCCTCCAAAACAGAAGAGTCTGCAAAATCCCAGGATGGCGCCACCTCCAAGCACAGCTTCGGGCGTAAAAATGGAGCAAAAGCAGAAGGCACAAACCCTCCACATCTCGACTCAAGCGGCCACCTCACATTCTCCCCAAACGATCCCTCCAACCCACGAAACTGGTCTCCCGGCCGAAAAGTCTTCCTAACATTCATCGCCATCCTCCTCGTCGTCAACGCAACTTTCGCATCTTCCGGTCCCTCAGCAGTCCTCCTCAGCATCTCTTCCTCCCTGCACGTCAGCAGCACAGCATCGAGCCTCACAGTCACCCTCTTCGTGATCGCCAATGCCTTTAGCCCACTACTCTGGGCTCCACTCTCTGAACATTTCGGCCGACAGAGAATATTCCAAGGAACCTTTGTATGCTATGTGGCATTCAATTTTTTGTGCGCTTTCGCGCCTAATTTTGGAGCTTTATTAGCGGGAAGGCTATTGACTGGAATTTTCGCGAGTTCGACTATTTCAAACACTCCAGGGTTGTTTGTTGACTTGTGGGATCCGGTGGCGAGGGGCAATGCGGTGGGATTGTTCGGCATTGCAATTTTTAGTGGTCCGACATTGGGCCCTGTTGTAGCAGGATTTCTGCAGTTGAAGCGGGATTGGAGGTGGTTCTTTTACGTTTTACTGTGGTTCGGTGGAGCTACGCTGCCTCTCGTGTTCATGCTGCCGGAAACTCGGCCATCTAAGATCCTGCTGCAGAAGGCAAGACGCATTCGAAAACAGGATCCTAGTCACAAAAACTTGCAAGCTCCAATCGAGGCATCTGGACAGACTCTGTCGACTTTATTCAAGACGGCGTTGACCAGGCCGTGGCGAATCTTTATCGACCCTATCGAGCTTTGCTGCGCAGCATATACGGCTCTGATCTACATGCTCCTGTACATGCTCTTCGCCATATATCCTCTGGTTTTCCGACAAATGCGAGGCTGGAACGCCGGAGTCAGTGAGCTTCCTCTGCTGGGAATCGTCGTCGGGTCAATCTTCGGAGGCTGTGGCGTGCTGTACACAACTCACTGCAGTCACAAGAAGATCGCAGCCGGGCACAAACCAGTGCCGGAAGACAGGCTACCTTTGGCATGCATCGGTGGCGTGTTGTTTCCCATCTCAATGTTCTGGTTCGCCTGGACTGCGCAATACAATTCGATCCACTAGATAGTACCCACACTGGCAGGACTACCTCTCGCGGCATCGTTCCTGTTTGTGTCGTCTTCCTATCTTAACTACATCGCAGACACGTACGGGCCCTACGCCTCGAGTGCTTTAGCAGCGAACGCCTGCTGTCGAGCAATTTGTGGCGCTGCTGCGCCACTCTTCACACCATACATGTTCAGGACTCTCACTGTCGCTGGCGGAGGATCTCTGATTGCAGGCATGGGCTGTCTGCTTGCAGTGGCTCCATTCGTATTCGTCAAGTATGGAGCGCAGATTCGAGCGAAGTCGAAATTTGCCAGCAGCGTCGAAGCGAGTAGCAAGTAATGACAAAGGTCCTGGTCTACCTACTAGGAATGCAATTATGCAGCTAGACCTATGTTCGTCTCCCAAGCTTTCGCCAAGTTGAAACGAAGCTCGCTTTGGGATGCTAAGGAACAGAATCAGGCTAATCACAGCCTTCACAGCCCTCTTCGCTTGTGACACGACGGCTCAACGCCGGAGCATTTCCCTGACTTTGTTTCGCTTGAGATCCTTCCTGCCAGCGTGCAGCACAAGTCTGGACGGGGAGCAAGTAGGATCCTACGAGCCAAGATCTGTCCGTTGTTTCGCAGCGTCAGGAATAGCTCTCTGCATTAGCGCGCGGTGCTGGGTGCGAGCCAATGAACTGCGTTGGGCGCTTCGACGCAAGCCATATGCAGTTATGCGCCGGTTGCACAGGTCTCTGCGACACTGGCTTCGATCCTACTGATGGTAAGAATACTTCTTTCTCGACTTGGCAGTGTGTTGGTTCATTCACCGACCATGATTTCGTCTGTTCGATGATGATCCTGCGAAATGCCAGCGCTGAATAGCGTTGCTCCGCCTCCACGACAGTGTCGCTTGGAGAATGGAGAGACTGAGATAGACGAGTGCGTTGTGAGTATAAGAGCTCGTGATGTTCGCGACGAGAAAGATCATCGCACAGCACAATCACATCAGCTCAAAGCACCTCCGACAACATCACCAGAAGCACCTCACATCTCAATAATAACCAACAATATCTTTCTTCCTCAATCACCATGTTCTTCAGCACTTCTATCGCAGCCACCATTGTGGCCTCCATCTCTTTCGTCTCCGCAGTACCCACAGCAAACCAGAACTGGAAACTCGAAACCAACGCCCTAGGCTATGAAGTCGCCCGCTTCAAACCCGGCTTCGAGCCCGGCAGCGAAGACTACACCCACCGCTTCGGAGCAATCGACTTCAACAGCACATCATCTCTCGTCACCAGAGACAATGCCCGAACAACCAAACCTTACGTCGGCAAGACCAGAATTCCATATGGTATGAAGTGTGACTTACAGCTGTTGGCGCTTTACTGACCTTCATACCCACACAGGCTGCAACACCGACATCGGCAACTACGTCTTCTCCCGCATCCACGAACTCTGCGACGAAGACCGCTGCGACGAGGGCTCCACCGTCAGCGCCGAAGTCGAATACCCAGTATCCGGCAAAAAACAAAAAGCAAACGTCGTGGTTTCCGTTTCGGGTTTCTACCCCAGTGGTTCCAAAGACCATATGATTCGCGCCGTTCAAGCTATGGTACCTCAAAATGGAGTCGACTACTACGATGTTATCAGCTATGGACCTATCCGAGGCGGTCACTCTCTCCAGGACACCACCATTTGCGAAGTGGTGGGTTCCAGCAACTTCTTTTCGGTTGTTGTCACGAACGATGCGGATGATAGTTTGGTGGGGAATTTGGATGTTTCTGTTACTTTTGATGAGGGGGAGAATGGGGTGAGTTTTTGCTTTGCCTGTTGGGTTTGGGTGATTGAATCCTTACTAACGCACTTCAACAGGCAATTTGCGGAACCATTGCGACTGTGGCCAAAGAGATTGCTGGTGCTATCAATGGAATCGCTGGCGCACTCTTCGGAGTTGTTCAGGCTGTTTCTTGCAAGTAATAAGAAGCACTCGGGAAATTCTTTGCATAGCGGTGGGGCGATAGATGGGCAGTGGGTGGCTGGCGTTCTGGAAATCGAAATTGGATGGGCATATGGCAGGTTCTTGACACTGATATTGGATATGCAGAGTCTTAAATGAGGCATTCTCAACGTGAGTCTTCTGTCAGATCTTGTTGTGTGCCGCTTCTTCATGCAGTCCAGAATTGTGTTCCTCAGAAACGTGACTAAAGTTCCATGCAATCCTGGACCGGCGAAGACTGTGCAAGCTACGATTTGGGATGTGCCGGTTGGAGCTCACGAAGCGCTCTTCGTGGTCTGAATCTTAGTGTACCAATTTGTTTCTCTTCCCATCAAGATCACCCATGGATATGGATATCGAATCTTTAATTGAACGCATAAATGCTGTTGCTGCAAGTCATGCAGAGAAAAATATCACAGAAGACCTCGCGGCCCGTCTCAAACTTCTCAAGGCGGCCGAGGACCTCGTCGCGGCATTGAAGCCACCCGACATGGTAGTCGCCGACATGGCTTTCTCGGTGTTCCACTATGCGAGCGTGAGACTAGCACTGGAGATGGGTATGTTCGAGAAGCTGGTCTTGGCAGAGCGACCACTGCCTGTAACGGAGCTGGCAGCTTCACCCACCGCCGATACTCAACTTGTTCTCCGCATTGCCCGATCACTAGCAGCCACTGGTTTCCTGGCCGATGTACAGACCGCAGAAGGCCAGGACGCTTTCACAATCGCAGCAGCTGGAAGACATGCGATCGTACCTTCTTGTAGAGCAGGCCTCAAGTTTCAGTGAGTCCAGCGCGGCAAGCTGTAAGGAGTTTCGACTAATCGAGATTCTCAGCTTCGATCAGAATCTTCCAGTGGTCATTCACGCTCCAGAGTTCTTCCGTCAGAACGGCTTCAAGATACCCTCGACGCAGCAAGACGGTTTGTTCCAGCATGTGTACCAGACTGAAGACGATTGCTACACGTATTGGTTCAAACAACCTGGTGTTATGGAGAATTTCAATACCTTCATGCAAGGATACTTTGAAACGATTGATTTCGTCAGACCGATATCATGGTTTCCGTACGATCAAGTCTGCTTTTCAAGGCAAGCAGAGCAATGTTGATAAGCAGATGGTTCTTGACAGCCTGTGGCAGCCCATGCTCTCCACGTGCTGACCCTGGTAGGCTGACGCAGAGATCAAATTATTCTGCTCTGGCTCTTGATGATTCGTGCGCAAACATGCTCATCAGCTCAGACTATAGGAAGATGGTCAGCAGCGACAACGCAACAACCACACTTTCACCTCTCTCTCGTTCGTTTCATCCCGCCCCGCCCCGCCCCGCTGCTGCACGGCTGCCGACATCCAGAGCATACGCGTCGTCAGGTTGTCCAATTCGCCGGCTTGGGATCACCAGACACACTCCATTGCGCGTTTCCACGAGATGCAGATGCAGTCTCAAGACCAGCACAGCCCGACCGACGAGCGTGCCAATGGCCGACGTCGGCTTGGCAGCCCGCTTTCTGGCGGCATTTGAAACCGCCTCGACGTCAGGACATCTGGCGAGAACACGACACACTTCCACGACTCAAGCCAAACCCGATGGTATAGCGATTGGTGCTCGAATAGGGGCGCAATTCGAGTCTGGACACCCGAAGACCGTTGCAATGCAGATCATCGAGCACAGCTATCCGCCAGCTACCGCAGCTACTGCCACGCAAGCCGCGGTACCACGACGACGGCCTCTCAGACACTCTCGCGGCCTTTATGCATTCTTGTGCAACGGTCATGATTTCTGATCCGTCGACCAGCCAGCGCTGTTGGCGAAACATTCCTCTGCAGTGCCGCAGCTTAACATTTGACCTAGGTGTGCCCGAACTGCTAACGGCCGCAGACTTCACGAATCCGGTGCTTTCCAACTCACATTTTGTACAAACAAGGCATAGTTTCGACAAGGGTTGCTGGCCGGTGCAAACAAGCCATGTGCCGTCAGATCTCTATTCAAAGTCTCGCAATCTCTCCATCGGCCCGCTGCTTCAGGCTTGCCACAGCTATGCCACAGCTGTTGCAGACTCGTACTTGAAGTCGCACCAACACGCGTTTGCCAGTAGGACGACCTGCATGGCCTGCAGTTGCCGGCCAATCTCGCAAAAGCAAAAAGGTAGGCTTTTGATGTTTCAGGCGGACGGCGTAGCCTCAACTCTATCGCAGCGGCTTTTTGATTAGAGCCTGGAGAGAGCATGGGTTCGTACAAGGGATACCAGGTAAGAATGGACATCCAAATTTATACACTTCACCTCCCGGACCTATCATGGCATCAACCAACGCGCCACTTCCACCTTTCCTCTCATCAATCACACAAACATGAGGGCATTCACTGCTGGCGCAGCGATATTTCTCGCGGCAGTCAGTGAGGTTGCGGCATGGGGAAATCGAGGTGACGCCAATGGGCCGCCAGGCTACGACGGAGGACTACACCAACACGGAAGCGACTTTCAACCGGACCACATCTTGCGCGTGACTGCTGAAGATGTCAAGATCGGATGCCAAGAGCGCCACTCTGTTGTGGTCAATGGAACCACACCTGGGCCTGCACTTCGTCTTCAAGCAGGCAAGCGCCAATGGATCCGAGTATACAATGACATGTGTGAGGAGAAGCTCAACACTACCATCCACTGGCATGGGCTCACACAACGCCTGGCTCCCTTCTCGGACGGAACTCCTCAAGCAAGCGCGTGGCCGATTCCTGCTTGCCACTATTTTGACTACGAAGTGTTCCCACTGAGGAGTGAATGCGGCACATATTTCTACCACTCTCATGTTGGTTTCCAAGCAGTCTCCGCGACAGGCGCGCTGATCATCGACTGCCCTGATCCTCAACCTTACCAGTATGATGATGAGCGAATTATCGAGTTGTCAGACTACTTCAATCACACCGATGAGCGTATCGAGAAAGGCCTCATCGCCAAGCCTTTCGTTTGGTCGAATGAGACTAATGCCATTCTGATCAACGGCGTGGGCGTTGCGCAGGAAGAGGCTCACCGAGCTGGCACAGAGGGATGCTCCCTTCCAGTCATCGAAGTCGAGCCATGCAAGACTTACCGCTTCCGTTTCATCGGCAGTTTGGCCATCTCATTGGTGCAATTGGGTATCGACCAACATGAGAATTTCACAATTATCGAAGCGGACGGGTCTTACACAAAGCCACATACAGAAAAGTTCATGCAGATCACCACAGGTCAACGCTTCGATACAATCTTCAAGGCCAAAGACGAAGCTGAGCTCAATGGGAAGAGGGACTACCTCATTCAGTTCGTAACCAAGGATCGTCCAAAATCTTACACTGGTTATGGTATTCTTCGCTACAAGGGTGGTCCACCAGAAATCACAAAGGGCCCTGACACCCCACCACTTACCTTCTCCAACAAGACCTACGAGTGGGCCGAGTTTGCGCTTCAGCCTCTGCACGACAACAACTTCCCTAGAGCGGATGAGGTCACTCGTCGCATCGAGCTTGACAACCGACAGATGTCCACCGACAGCATCGTCTGGCGTACAAACGGTCTGGAATGGAATGAAACCACTCCACCACAGCCCGGCGATGTCCCATATCTCGTCGACATCTACCAACGCGGCGAAGCAGCTATGCCAAACTACACCGCAGCACTTGCAAACAATGGCTGGGACCCAACAACATATACTTTCCCTGCTAAGCTCGGCGAGGTAAGCCCAATCATCCCCTCCACAACCCATATCTAAAGTGACTAACCCAAGTCCCCAGGTCCTCGAGATAGTCTGGTACAACACCGGCTCCCTCGTAAAAAACAACGGCGGCCAAGACTTCCACCCCCTCCACGCCCACGGCGCGCACTACTACGACTGCGGCTCTGGAAACGGAACCTACGACCCCATCGAACACGAGAAAAGATTCGCAAACTACACCCCCGTCCTCCGGGACACCACAACCCTCTACCGCTACATCGACAAAACCATCGCCGGCGAACGTTTAGGCTACCGAGTCTGGCGTCTACGAGTCACAGATGCAGGAGTGTGGATGATTCATTGCCATATTTTACAGCATATGATTATGGGGATGCAGACGGCGTGGATTATGGGGGATTTGGAGGAGATCAGACGCGTGCCGTTGTTTGATGCGAGGGCGTATTTGGATTTTGGGGGTGGGGCTTTTGGGAATGAGACGTATGCGCCGTTGGTGAATCATTATTTTGAGGGGGCTGAGGGGGAGGAGTGGGAGGAGGAGGTTGTGGAGGAGAGTGAAGCCGCTGAAGCGGGAGAGTCATGATGCGAGCGTGAAGGTTATTGCTTGATCTTTTGAAGTGTTTTACATGGCGAGAGGCGTTGTGCATGTATGGGCAAACATATCAGAGAGAGGCATGTACACTTATGAAGCTTCCGAGATTCTTTCTTTTCTCTGCCATCGTGGACAGACGATAAACACAGAGAAACTTTTAAACCTTCAGCTTTCTTCTCACACATATACGAGCTCCTTCGCGTGTGCATTCCGTCTTTCTTCAAAACATATCCCATCCCGATGAGGCACCGTGTGTGGAACTTATCACAGCTGACACTTCACGTAGACAACCAAGATTCCCTTCTCTAGGACCCGCACGCTGTAGAAGAACTCCCGAACATGTTTACTCTGATTTCAAAATAAATGCAAGCATCCGCTTCATGATAGTACCTGCGCAGCGTCTAGTCTTAGGTCGTAGAGGATGATAGCCCATCGGCGAATTGAGCAACGGTCTTGCACAGCCATGCTGTGTAGAATGCGACGAACACGAGGCAGAAGTAGGCCACGTGATACCAGTGGCAGCCGCCTACGGCGCCATTCTCATGGCAGCCCATCTCCACCGTGAGAACAAACACCAAGAGGACATTGTATGGAGCGGGAGTATGCATGGGAAAGGCACAACAAGATATTGTTATTGAAGTACACGGTGGACACAATCTCAATTACAACAACATCTTCAACTTTTCGAGACAGGCCACACTCATAAATCGTCGTCCGAGCCAAGGTCCTCACCACCGTCACCACCACCAACAGCAGCAGCGATAGCTCAAACCCCACTCGTGAAAAATAATTTTCTTACAAGCGAGACAATCCCACAATCTCGCGGTTGACCTGGTAGTCTGGAACTCTCATATCGAGAGCACGACCAGTGTAGCCAAGATCCTCTGCAGTGAGAACAGCGCACTTCTCACCAATGAGGAGGGCAGTGGAGTAAGTGTTGCAGCCGACATTGTCGGGGCAGATGGACAAATCGGCAACCTTAAGGTTCTTGGTGCCGTGCACGTTGAGGCGCTCGTCCAAGACACCGTGCTTGACGATGGAGTTGCCCTCGCGTGGGGCCATGGAGCAGGTACCTGGGATGATGTGTTAGTTCGTGAGAAGGGTGGGAGGGAGAAGGAGGAAGGAGCTTACCGAGGGAGTGCCAGGTGGTCTCGGTGTGGCGCTTGACCCACTCCTCGACGGCGAGGAGATCGTCGCGGCTGTACTGCAAGTCGTCGTGGAGTGCCTGCTGGTTGGAGTTGAGGAAGCTTGGCTCTGGTTGTCTGCTTGGAGCTGGGAGTGGGTTGGTCCAGGCACCAGTGACGAGGTTGGACGTGATGTGGTTTGGTCCAGCATACGCGTTGGTGGTGGCAAGATCCATATCGTGGCAACGAGCTGGGGAGTCGTAGGCGTAGAATGGGTGGTTGTTGGCAACCTCACCGGCGAAGGCGTCCATGCGGCGTGCAGTCTCACGAGACTTGATGTAACCCCAGACCATTGGTGCCATATCACGTCGGTCGTTCATGAAACCGGCGTCGAAGTCTGGTGCCTCGTATGGGTTGGGGCTGACAATGTTGGTGAAGCCACGAGAGAATGGATACTCCAGGAAGTGGAACATGGAGAAGTACTTTCCGGGTGGAACGTGCATGTGGTCACCGAACCAGCCAGCGACAACAGCCCAGTGCATGACTGGCTTGTCTGGCTTGTCCTTGAAGTAGCTGTCCCAGCCCTTGATGAACTCTGGGAATGGGGAGCGAGCCATGTCGTCGAGATCCTTTTGAGTTGGTCGCCACTTCACACCGGCTTCAATGGCATTGGTTGCCAATGGACCAGTGCCATCGAGCTGCCACTGGTTGAAGACCTTGTCCTGCACCTCCTTGTCGCCCCGCACGAAGTCATCGAAAGACTCGACGTGTGGCTTAGCACGGTAGAGAGAGAAGAACAGGTAGTGGTCCTGGAAGTTCTGGCCAACACCGGGGAGGTCGACCAATGGCTTGACACCAGCCTTGCGGAGCTTCTGAGCATCACCGATACCAGAGCGCTGGAGGATCAAAGGTGAGCTGAGTGTGCCGCCAGATACGATGATTTGCCGACGTGCTCGGAATGTGCGGGAGTGGTTCTCTGATGGGTGCAATGGCTTGGTGGGAACAGTTCGGACTCCAACGGCCTTGGTGCCCTCGAAGACGACCTTGTCAACCTTGGTGTTGACAGCCAGGTGCAGGTTCTCGTAGTGTTGACGAGTGCTGTGGATGTATGCGTGGGCAGAGTCGGAGCGACGTCCGGTGTCCCGGTTGATCCACTTCAGCCAGTGCTCAGCACCGTGGCCGGTGGTCAGATCCTGGAGGTCGTCGGTGACTGGGATGCCCTGAGACTCGGCCGCGCGGAGGAAGTCTTGCATCACTGGGTATGTGTAGTTACCGAAAGAAACCTTGATAGGTCCATCGAATCCGTGCAAGTCGCGGTTGTTGCAGGCACGTTGATATGTCTCGTGCTTCTTCATCAAAGGAATGAGCTCCTTGGTGGTCCAGCCCTTGGCTTGGAAGTCATCGTAATCTGAGGCGGATGCACGAGTGTACATCTGGTCATGTCAGTGGTGATTCTTGAAAAGTCCGAAACAGTGCTCACCATGAAGTTGATCGAGGAACCACCACCAAGAATGTGGGCGCAAGGAACGATTGCACGACGGCCAGAGAGCCATTCGGATGGACGCGAGTAGTAGAAAGTGGCAGTCTTGCTGTCCAACTTCATGTTGCGTGGGAAGATACCTGGGCGGAAAACCCATGGGTTGTTCAAGTTGCTCTCACCGGCCTCGATGAGCAGCACCTGAAGCTTGTGGTCCAAGTTGGCCAGACGGCCAGCAACGACGCAACTGTATGAAGTCCATCAGCATTGTTCCGAGTCGTCCTTTGGACTGGCGACGACCAACCCGCATGATCCTCCACCGCACACGATGATATCAACCTCGTCTGGGATCGTCATCTTGAATGGCGTCTCTTTCTTTCAATGGACTTTCAAAGGTTTCGTTTTGGGATATGTCGGAGAGAGTGAGATCGAGGAGTGGGATCCTGATGCTCTCTTTCTTCCCTTCGAGAGCGGGCTCACTGGCCGTATATCAATACCCACTCCCCGCACATGTCAGGTGCTTCGGAAACCTGGAGCTTTCACATCCTCCTAGCATTGGTCAACGGTTCTGAGGGGGATTGTTTGATGAGTGAGATCCTACGTGTGCCTGGAGCTGGGAATACTGGAGCAGGGGAGCTCACGCCACAACGGGGTGACTGCTGAGGTCTGTCCGCGACAGGGAATGGCCCTGGGAAACTCAGGCGGTTGCCCAGCTAGGCGCTTAAGCTCCTGGTCTGCAACAGCTGTTGGAGCTTGATGAATGATCCTGCCGTAACATCGTTCGCCCAAGCCAACCGCGCTTAGCACAGCCGATTGGGGGTCACGACGAAAGAGACAGCTGTTGTGTTGCACAACACAGCGAGCATGCCTCTTCGCTTCCTTCAACACGACTTGCCGATATACGCGGGCGCATGAGCCACCACAGTCAGATCCCCAGGTGCGGAGAACCTAGCAATGCAGCACGGTCGTGCAGCGTCAGAATAGTGCAAACTTCCCCAGTCTTTTGCAGTGAGATCGCAATTCGGTGGTTCGAGACAGCGAGGTCATGCAGCCAAATGCTTGTACCGCCTCCGCTCGTACTTCCAGAGAGTCGTATGCCTGGGCGATACCTTGATACTTCACCAAAAGACTTCGATACCAACCACCAGATTCTCGACTCGAGGCCAGAATGAGATGTCTTTCGACTGCCAGCTCTCTTCTCATTCCGAATGAAGCTCGAACTTGATCGCGATTCAGAGCAGCTGAAGCCATGACAAGGCATCGTACGTTCCGGCAGCGGCGGTATGCGGCCGCGGCCGCCTAGAGTGGGCGACAGCGACAGCCAGTCGTACGGCAACGCTTTTGGTTGCCAAGTAACTTCCTCCACTTACCATGAGCGGAAGGCATCCAGATGCAGTGATGGACAGGCATATTGCGGAGACCTCGAGCATGGGTTGGCGTGAGATTGGACGTGTAAGCGTGTGCCATGTGCGAAGGAGCTGTCGTTGCGCGGCAGTATCCTTTCTCCACCTGCGTCAAACCTGCTCCACAGTTCACGACCCTGTTCATCCTACTGCACGAACTCTCCACGGTCGATGCACCTCTGCGGGGAACCTGGTCTGCCGCAATCCGAAGCATGCGCTGGCTGCCGTTTTGGCTGTAGACTTCTCGTTGAGTTCTCTCCCGACAGACCCATCCAGAGGGCAAAAAAAATTTCCCGAAAGGCTGAAACAAATGCCTGGCAGAGTCGAAGCGTAGACTTTCCGGAGTTTGTGGGGTCAGCATCGCTCAGCCACACATCATGCTATGCGCGCGCAATCGAGTAGATGTTGGTCTGGGATCCAGCATGTTTGAGGACTGAACGTTGAAACCAATGCCGGTAGAGTCCGGACAGGCGTCTGCACCCCATGTCAAGGATTGCGGACCCCATGCGGAACATTGCGGTCCATTGTTCTATTGGAGCTTTTGCATGGAGAGCTCCTACTCTTCTCCGCACGGCGACCATAATACCAAGCCTCTTGTATGATGATAACACGCGTTCTCGCTTGTCGCTTGGGGAACGGTCGCTCACATCGTACTGAGAACTGCTCGGAGTTGTTGCCGTGGCTTTCCTGTCGAGAAGCGAGCAACAACGCCGTGCAACCACGCCCTCAGTTCTCGACTCCAATCACATGTACTCGTGAAGAACGATCAGCGCGAATGTGTGGATGGTGGCTGTTGCTGCAGGTCTTCAAAGAGCTTCGCCAAAAAAGCATGCCGTTCGCTGCTATTGCACCCGAAAGGAAGTTCGGCTCGACAAGGACCCGTGTTGCCAGGCATCGGAACGCAAGTACCAGTACTCAGAGGGAGTACGGCTTCGTGATCACTTATCGTGGATTGGAGAGCTAACTAATGTCCGTTCTAATCTACAATGACCAGAGATGCCAGTCTCAGTCTACATCGCAGACCAAATTCGCCCTGCGTTATCAAGAGTAGCGCTGTATGAATGCTGCTGCTATGCCAAAGTACCTCCCCCACCCTTGCCTTAGCTGAAGTCACATTAGGCTTCAAATGTATCACTTTCTTCCTGCTTGAGCCGACATAATCCGTGCCGGGCTAAGGAACAGTGCCCTAATGTTGACCTCTTGACAGATTCGATCACCTCCCCGCGCCCCCTCCCTGCTTCTTTGCAAGATCAGATTTCATCGAATACTTCGTAAATGGTTTCGCCCGCGTCCAGGTCGTCCTGGTCAACATATTCGTCTATGATGCCCTTATGTCGACGTCCATCGGCGGCCACCGGTGAGGTCGTCGGAGCATCTTGCATTCCCTCCCACTCCTCCTCGAGTTCCTCGCCATTTTCGCTATAGATCATCGGAAGCTCGTCGTCGATCTCCAGGTCGTTATCGTCGCCCCGCGAATCGTTGTGCGAGCGCGGTGTGGGCATGGCAAAGGGCGTGGTACCCCTACCTCGACTGCTGGCGGCTTGACTGCTTCGGTGATAGAGCTCGACGGAGGTTCGGGGAGGGCTGTATCGTGGGGTAATACCGAATCCTCGCCGCTCCCATTCTGGGGAAGTGGATATTCGACGTCTTTTCGTCGAGCCCTCAGTCGAAAGCTGAACATGATTGGTAGTCTCCAGATCGAAAGAGGTCACCCTTCTCTTTGTGGCAGGATCGACTTCCATGAAATGCGCCGATGTGGAGTTGGGAAACGAAACCGAGCGGCGCTGGATTTGTCTGCGCGCGACCGGTGAGCCAATGTCCACTTCGTCTTCAGCGTCCATTTCCCTGAAATCCTTGAAGACAGACTCGCTCCATGGTGAATCTCCAGAGGCATAGGAGGACTGAGGGCTGGTGGCATGATCCAGTCGCGGTGTGAAAGACCAGCACGCGTCCACAACTTTGCCAAGAGCTTCAGCGGCCTGAAGCTCGCCATCTCCATCGTACAGCGGCAATTGTCGAACCCTCTGCCAATTCCAACCAGATCGAGGTGGCTGCAAGTATCCGTGCGGTGTTGTCAAGTACAATCTCCTCTCGCCGTTTGCTTTCATGAACACACTAGAATCCAGAAAGTCAGCAGACCACGAAGTTGGCGTAATCATCTCTGCCAGGCTCAAAAAGCGCAATCGAGACGATTTCCGCACTTTGCGCAGCGGGATGAACTTTTCTTTCAAACCGTGATATTTCGTCCCAAGATCTGTGGTAACGGTCTCTTCGGTGGCGAGAATGTCTCCAAAAACTGATGAGATTGCAGCAAAGATGTGCGCGGCATCCGGTGCCTGAATCTCAACCTCTCGCACAAGTCCTCGACTGGCCAGGCGCTGGAACACGGTTCCACTGGGTCCACAAGCCTTGGGAGAGAGCCACTCCTCCTCGGTCTCTTTCGCCCACGCCTCAATTGACTCGGTCGTCCATGCGCCACTGGTTGCGGCAGATCTGAATGATGATTTCGAGCCTCCATTGGGAGCAGACCACTCTCGCGAAGTGGGATGGTCAGCGTCGCGAGCGGATGGCTGAGTGGCCTCAGATGAAGAAAACCATACGCCCGGCAACTGTCTGCCAAAAGGTAGGAGGACAACTTGAATGGTCCACGGTCGCGCGAATGTTGGCAGTGATGCGTTCTCAAGCTCTGCAATGCGAGACTCGAGCGCGTCAATGCGTGGTCCAGTTTCAGCGTTAGCAGCGATCGTTGCGAGAACGACAGCTTCAGTCTGCTTGGCAGCGCTGAGGTCGAAAGACTCGTCCGAATCAAAGGAGCCAGTATCTGGGAGAAGGGGTCGCTTCTTGGTGCCCGCAACTGGTGGCGAATGTGGTGGCTCGTCCTCGGTCTCAGCCTGTTCGCGCCACGACTCGAGCTCTACGAGTCGTTCTTCCAAGAAGGACAGCTTCTGATGCGTATCATCTGCTGCTTGTGTCTCTGACTGATCCTCTCGCCAATGCTCGAGATCAAGTAGTCGACCATCCTGCATCTCAAACCATGATCGCACCTCATGGCTAGGCATATTGTCGAAGGACATACTTTCCAGCTGTGCAATACGCTGGCCAAAGTTCTGGATCGTGTTACACATTTCCTGGATCGAAAGCGAGGGTCCAGCGCTGACTGGTCGAGCGGAGGGCCTTCGAGGCTGGCTTGATTCCGAGGGAGGTGCTCGAGCGGCTTGTCGAGCCATGGTGGTCTGGGCAGCATTTCTGGGCGAGCTTCGTCTGAACTCGGGTGTTCCACGAACGCTGGGCGTAACGACTTCTGTTGCCACTTCCGTCGCGCTGTATGGCCCAGCAACGCTCGCCATGACTTCGGCATGAGGAATGGTGACAGGTGGTCCCATTGATCTGAAGCGGTTGCAACGATCTTGCAGATCTCGAGCTGGACTTGGCCTTGCGTCTCCGGCTATGCTAGGCGCACCTGTGGATGGTATTGGTGCCGTAGACGGAAGTCCCGAAAGACCGCCAGCTTGCATGTCATCTGCTTGTTGCCGAGCAAAGCCGTTCAAGGCATCCCACAGTCTCGTATTGATAGATCGTGGCTGAGAATCATTTGTGATGCCCAGACCTGCGGAGTGTTGAGCCCGCCCCATGGGCGTAGCGCCATCTCTTCTTGCCTCATCAGAGCCTCGTACGAGCTCGCTCCAAGTCGGTGCTACGAAGTGGTTATTGTCGTTGGATTGTCTGAATTGCTGCTGCGATGCGACGTGCGTGTCTGTAACAACTCGCACGCCCTGAGCATTGGCGTCGTCTGCGACGAAGTTCTGTCGCTCGCCATCATGGAAGCACGCGTGATGTCCACAGTAACAGTATGCTCTTTCACTCTGCTGATCTGGTGTCGCAATCGGCTCTCTCAGCCAGAATCGCTTGCACCCACATTGCGGAGCTTGGAGGCCTCCATTCAAGTCCTTGAAACCACACGCTCCACTCGGTAGGATCAGGTCGAGTCCGCTGCCTCTGCCTACAGAAGCCCGACTGATGGAGTGCCCATAGTAGGCCGCCATAAGGCGTGCCACCAGTGGCCGTAATCACTCAGCATGCCATTGCCATTGTACGAGATGGGAAGATGGGGATCGGTCGGTGTGCGTCGGCCGCTTCGTCTCGCTCGAGGCTCGTTTCGCTATCTAGACGGCGGAGAATGGAATTTACAGGGCAGACGATCGCTGATATACGCGTACGTCGACTCGTGGGTCGTGTGAGGGCGTAGCTGGAGGTCGCGTGGCCGAGCGTGATTGTGGGTGCACAGCACGCAAGAAAGTCCGTCGAGGAACAAGAGACTCGAGCGAATGCCCCACGCTATCGAGCCGCCAGACAGGGTTGGTGGTTGCCGCGATACCAGATTCGCTCCATTCGCGTGGATAAGCACGAGTCAAGGCGCAGATGAGTGGATGTGATTTGTACGGAGTGCAGGTCCGAGATACAACCCCAGCTTACTGCCAAGATTTTGTGACCTGATGAGGCCACACGTCGTACTACGACATCTTCTAACGCGTTGCGCGTCGCAATGCATTATATCTTGTCTGGACAACGTAACTTGCGTTGCCTGAGCACGTCTCCGCGACAGCGCTGCTGGAAAGACCGGCTTGGTCCCGCTTTTGAAGTTGAATTTCCTCCCATCCCACGTCGGCTGCTGCCTAGCGACCAAGCCTTCCGCTGTGCCGCCCGAGGAAGAATCGTGACCGAGATATATGGAGAGCGAAGTCGAACACAGCAATCATCAGATAGCGACACCCGAATCTGTCAGGTTGAAGAACTCGATCTACCATAAAGAGTAGGCTCAGAACAGCCAAAGGCTAAAAGAATGGACACAGAGTCAGGCCGCCGGCATATGACGGTCAGTAGGCGCAGCAGCAATGCCTCATGAGAAATGACTCCTACGTCTTGGACCAATGAAGACAAACAATCAAAAAGCAAGACAGTCCAAAGCCGAAGAAAACAGTGACGAGAGGAGACATATGAGGCTCTGTCATGATGGTGGTACCTTTTCGGACACCGCACCCACAGAGCTGGGTCCCCACAGCCGCGTAGAGGCTTTCACAAATGGTATAACAGATGTCGCTTTCCACTTTTTTCTCGTCTCACATCAGCAACCACACTTCACGAGTGTGTCTAATATGGACGCTCTTGCACGTTTCAATCACAGCTTGAGCTGGACTCGCTCATGGCTCGCAGCTCATCAGCAAGAGACAACCGAAGACGACTTCGAAGTCATCGACATCCCGGGGGGCAATTCCTTCAGCAGAGACGAAGATGTCATCTCTCTCAGCTCCGATGACCCCATAACCTCATGCGCGGAGCCCGAGTCTCTTCACGGCCCCTCCATCTTCGCTTTCAATCCAGACTCAGACATCTACTCCAACCCTTCCACATACGCAACCCATCCCCTCCATCACGACCCGGTCCACGACACCGAACCCCTCCCCTCTGACCATCTCGCCTACGCCACAGCAGGCCGAAACCCCACAACCCCCTTCCAGGACCTCCGCTCCCCCTCCAAAGCCCACAACCGAACCCGCAAACACAGCGAAAAATACTTTGGTCACCGCCACATCAAACCCGGCCAACTCAACCAACCCCACTGGGATACCTGGCCCCCCAACAAATACAATGTGTTCTACGAACCTGGCTGCACCATCACCGTACCCAACACCACATCCAACCTCCAACACGAAACCAAACCCACAATAATGACCAAAAAGCAACTCTACATCGAAGCACAACGCTGGCCACGTCCGCCGAAACCTCCCCGGAATCGGGTCGACAGAGATCGATGGCAAATTGCAGCTCATCATGACAAAGATCATTTGGTGATGAAGCACATGCGTCAGATACGCGAGCAGGATGAGATTGAAATGTTTTGGGATGAGGAGATGATTGAGGAGATGGTGGGGAGGGAGCATGAGGATATGGAAGTTGATCCGCGAATGGAGAATTGGTGTGTTTGTGTTTGGAAAGGGTGTGAGGAGTACTGTGTCGAGCATGGGTATGGGGTTCGTTGATGGAGTATGCAGCATCCAAATCAAGAATTCAACTGAATCAAGCAGCTCTATTGCATTCACAATTTGCGTACTTCAGAGTCAATACTTTATGCTGTCTATGATATTTCCATACCCTGTCTTTCAGCATTTGCATCTGGCATCAAGATCTGGCCTGCTCCTTCTTCTATTGGTGTGGTGATCCTTGTTGTTGGATGTAATTCGTCAATCACCAGAACATCTGTGTGGTATGATATGCCTGTCACTGCCATCTGGATCGCGGGTATGAAGCCCGTAATTCGCGACTGTTCGTATCCTGAGCCGCCCAGCATCCCCCAATCGGGCTAGCAAACCACAGGTCATGATTCTGGCGAACGACAGCATGGTTCTTGCCCGCCTATGCAGATCCACGAGCTTCATCTGCCTGGTAGTGTCGGAGTCCGAAAACCTTGGTCTCCAAAATATCTCATTCAGTTGGAGCGAAGCTGGCTGGCGCGACCATCTGGCCCTCACGGTATCGCATCTCTTTCACTGAGCATGTTCCATGGCCTCAGCCTCATCCGTTCTCAGGCGGAGAATTCCGTGACCTCGAGACCAAAGTGGCATAACCAAGCAATGGCGGAGCCGCATTACTATCCTCTTCCGGAGTGTCGTCGACCTCCGCCACCGAGCTTTCCGAACTCACCAAATGCCAAAAGTCCTCAGTAGGCGAATCACTCGAAAGCTCAATCCATGGCAACTTGGTTCCCAAAAGTCTGATCTGACCATAAGAGGTACTGGTGGCTCCTGGCAAGATAGCTCGCACCAGGTTCGCATATTCCTGTCGACCTCTGATCGAAGACGTGGCTGAGCCGCAGACAATCAACATCCAGACAAGCAGATCGCTCATGGCCTTCGTGTTGCCGCACTCGTCAAGCACTTTTCGCAGCAGTGCGGGCGTTAGCGTTGCGGAGATGTGCTTCTGAGTGGAAACGATCGCTTCCGTGTTCTGAAGGACTTTGCGGCCGAAGGTCCATGTCCAGAGCAGTCCGGTCAAGCGAACGCATTCCTGAAAATCCGCTATCCAGTCATAGCCCACATCTGCCGGGCTCGAAGCAGGCGTAGAATATCGCGCGAGGCGAAGTGCAATCTTGACAGCCTGACTAGCCTTCTTGCCCGAATGCATATGTGGCACAGATTCGTCCTTCGCGCCACCCTCTGCGTCGCAGATGTTGTACAGTGCTGTCAAGCCAAGAAGAGCGTCAGTAACTCTTGGAGGTACAAATCCAGAGAGTTCCCATTGAAGCATTAATGCTGCGTCCGGTACCTCATATCCATCAGCTTCCACATCATCCACAGCGTTCGTCGCCATCGGTCCAAACGGCATATGCAGAAGCGGCTTCACCTTTCCAGCTTGATGGAAGTTCGCGAGAAGCAGACTCGCCATTGCCGATTGATAATGCGGCGCGAATTTGCTGTGCTCCCAATCTTCTCGATCAATCAACGCCAAAGCATTAAGATGCATCATTGATTCGTCCAGCTGACCAGAATTGACTTTCATCGTGGCGAGCCGAATAATAGACCACATTAGAGCACATGCCATTTCGCTTCGAGCCTCAGGGGCAAGCCGGTCAAGTTGAGGGAGCTGTTGCGAAATGTGCATCATGGTTTGGTCCTCGTGGAGTATGCTTCGAGCTTCATCTTGTGCCCAGACATGGTTGGCGATGGCGAGAAAGCTATGCGCCAGTACTGGGCTCCACATCGTTTCTTTGAAAAGGTAGGTGTGATCTTGATTCTGCCATTTCCAACTCCGAGAGTCTGCCACTGATTAGCTCGACCTCTTACAATGCTGATGATGGATTTCCGCGTACAACCATAAAAGAGATCCATAAACCTCTCGTCGATCTCAACAGGAAAGGCAGCAAACGGATCTGGTCTCTCGGCCGGAGACGCACTGAGAGAATGTGACTCGCGCTTCACAACGCGTCGCTCAATCTCATCATTAGCCTTCTTCCGCCGTGCTACCGACTTGGAAGACTGGTGCCGCGTGGTCGTTGGCCTCTTGACCTCTTTTCCGGACTTCTTATCAAAGATAAGCTGTAAGAACTCAGGCCGGGAAGGTTGGTTGGCAGCATCTTGTGCTGCGTTTGCAGAAGCATCTTTCTTCGCCTTCTTCGCCTTCTGAGACCACTTCTGGTCTTGCACAGATTGTTGTGCGTGCGAGCGAATGCGGCTAAGGGTTCCTGCATCGACGTGCCGCTCAGTGGAATAGCTGATGAAAGCGAGCTCGTCTCCCATATCCAAAAGACGCGTCCCAGGTTTGCGGACTATAATCCATGCTCGGGTGTAGGTTATTCGGTTGCTGCCCTACACAGCCCGGCAGGACTGCCAGCTGATTACTCGTCTTGTCCTCGGGTTATAGAAACGTCGCGTCTGCACGCAGACGAAGCGAGGACTGCTTGAAGAGAGTCATGCCCAGCGCCCAGCCGAAGGATTCGGCCAACCGAGGGGATGACGTGCGGTAGGCTTGCGGTCCAGTGAAACTCAAACGGTTTCTGGGACTCTGCACAAGTGGTGATGCCTTCTCTTTCGCTGATACCATGCTCTCTGACTGCAGATTCTGAAACAGCATTATGCAGCCTTTCGGATTCATCGAGGAATGACACCCGGCGGATAGCGTGGCGGTGGCTCATGCATCCCATGCTGAGAATGTTTTGGGACGAGGCAGTATCACTGTCAAGCTTACCAAGATTCGTACCGCTATCGGGGCTTCGGTCAAAAGCTACCCGTTCGATAGCTCCGGTCCAAGCTTTCGATATCAATAGTGAGAGGATGCACAATCCAAGAGGGGTATGCAAATCTCCTCCTCTGCCAATTGAGAATGTTCAGTGATCCAGTCACGACCGTGTCGAGAAACCTTGACCGCAATATGGTAGATGATCTTGAGTATCAGTTCTGTCAAATACATGGCTCCTCAATCAAACAGCATGCAAGAAATCAAGCCTGATCCAACTCCAAATGCTGCATGAATCGTGTCAATACATCACCGCTCATCAGTAACTCCTGAGTATAGCCGGTGTGCCACTCTTTTCGGCTCCGAAGAGCTTCGTACCTTGCAATCTGTGCGAGACATGGTTTCTCTTGGTCAAGCGCCAGGTAGGTGAGAGACCGGCACAAACTTGTCACTCTCTTCATGACCTCCATCTCCGCTTCTCGATATCGCGCTCCATCTCTATTTTCCAGCCAACCACCCAAACTTGGCCAAACGAATTCGGCTCGCAATGCCCAACACCACCAGGATGCTCGCGACAACCACCGCCCAAAGCTGAATTTGAAGCACGTTGACGTTGAAGGTCGTGTACGTCGCCGCGCAGATGGTGGCCAACATAAATACTGTCGTGATGTATCCTCCCACTCGGTGATATTTGTAAAGGCTCTTAGCTTTATCCACACTTCCATACAGTCCTGGAGTGAAGTACTGCGTGAACCCCACGAGAGCCTGCAACGTAACCAAGATATAGGTCACGAGTCCCAAAATCGCATGAGGAGATTCGAAGTGTGTGCCGTTGTGGTCGAACTTGTTGTATTCAATGACGACAAGGCCAGCGATGGCTGCGAGGATTCCGACATCGTTGAGGGCGGCGTGCGTGTACGTGCCTTGTTTCTTTTGTTGGGCGGTGTGGGTCGGTTGGAGGACGAGGATGCCTTGGATGAGGAAGAGGAAGGCGGCGGAGTTGAGGAGCTGTGTTTGACGGGTCAGTGCTATTGCGATTTGAGGAAGGCGTAGAAGGTGGTGTAATTCTGGCGTACTGGGTGTGCTGAGAAGAGGATCAGGTCATTCGAGAAGACGGCTCCCCATACTATCGCTGCGATCTGTTTGGGATCAGTCAGCTGTTCTCGCTCAGTATTTGACACTGCGGGCAACGCGTACAATCCAAGCTCCTGCCTGTGCCACAACGGCCGTACCTGATGCCATGGTCAGTTCGTCGATGATGATCGGAAGAGGAAGCAGATCCTACCGAGCACGAAGTTGTAGTATAGTGGCTTGCCCTCCGGCAAGCTCGCATCTCCTCTTTCTCCCAACAGAGGCTCCTCCTCAGCTGTGCCGTCTCGTCGTGTCGCCATACTGCTTCTCTTCTTCCTCCAAAGTTTCGTGTTCTCGGTTCGAGGTGTCGTCAATGTCCTGTACGATGAGCCGTGCTGCGGGCCTGCTAGATCAGATAAAGAAGCCGACCAAGTCTTGAAAAGAAGGTTGGCTAGTCGAGACGGATCAGATAGACAGGAAGAAACTCTCAACTGTGCGGCTGCTGACTTCGTACTTGTCCTCTCAGTGTCATGACCTGGAAGGATGGGAAGGTCTGCAAGGTTTCACGACGAATAGCTAGAGGTGGATTACGTCTTCGACATCCCCGCCTGTCGTGATGATGCTCTTCTCGATGCGGACACATGATGGTGGGTGGCATGTATGGAACATGCTAGAGAGCCAATTGGAAGCTGCGAATTGCTCAGCTTACAAGGGCAGGCGGCAGGATCGGCAAATGATCCCGAAGGATGCTGACTTGCGATTCTGTTGAATGTGGTCGTCCATTCCCTTTCAATATCATCGGTGAGTTTCATGAAGGAGGTCAAGTTCGCCGAGATGCCAATTTCGAGGTTGGCTTACTGGCTTCTCTATCACATATCGTCTACTGTATCGTGCTCTGCTGTCGTTCACGGAACCCAAACGGCTTTCTCAAAATCCCTTCCCGAGTCTCACAGTTTCACCCGCTCCATACCATAACTGACCCTTCCTGAAATCCAGACCTCTCTCTTCGCCCACTACCCATTCACTACCTGCCTTCGCATCCTCACCCTCTCTGGGCCAATACTTCTCTTTCAACCAGCCATTGATCTTCTCAATCTCCTCTACAAGCTGAGCAACCTTCTGCCTATCCACGCTCCCGTCCCTCGTTTCGAAGTCCGATTTCGTAATGAATCGACCAATAGTCAAGTGGGCAGATGGAATCACATATCTACTGGCAACCTTCACACCCGTCCCAGAGACAAGACTGAAGAGATCTCGTCGAAGGTGGTGATATGTATAGTCATCGGCCTCAGCAGATCTGTCTGCGTGTGTAGGCTCACTCGAAGCTGGAAGCCAGGAAAGTGCCAGAGCCTGAGCATCGAAGCTCACCATGGGCTTCACCAACCTGCACCTGTGATCGTGCGTAAAGTCCGTGATACTCTCCGCATGTGGTCGGATCTGTTCCACCAGGGCATCAATCTCAGGTGCGGTAAGAGAATGCGTCACTTCCAGCGCTGTCATGTGAAGGTTTGTCTGCGGCATGAGCCAAAGGCTTGGAGCCACCTTTTTCAATGCTTGCTGGATTTCTGCCACCATGGCCTTGACTTGCGTGGTAGGCCTTGCCCAGAAGACTAGACAGTGTCTTGGATCTTCATAGCCTGTGTTCTGCTGAGGATTTTCCAGCTTGGCCAGAATCTCGTCGATCGTCACACCAGGAAAGTCTGGAGCTAGCAACTTTTCTTTCTGTTGGCCATTTCGATTCACCCGGTGGTTCTCGTAGCGCTTCTGTATCTGAGCTCGATCGTTCGAACAAGATTCAATGAGATCGTGATATGGGTTATCAGTCTTCTTGTCGCCAGCACCTCCCCCAGAGAGATCCTCAAAGGTATAGTAAGCGGCCATTGCGAAGGGGTCGGGATCTCGATGTTGTCATGGAATGTCCTCAACCTGCTCTATTTGGCTTATACAATCTCTGCCACTGCAGCAGAACCTTTCACTTCCAAGAGTAGTCGCGATGAGTCGAAATGTGTTGACCGTGTGGAAGGCGCAAGGGCGGATCTAGACCGGCTCCACATCGTAGTCGGTCTGGGCGCCACTCGACCACTCCTCAACTGACACATGAAATGGTGATATGCGGCGGATCTGGTGATGTGAATTGGCTGAGAGATGTATATGTCGGTAAGTGGAAGTTCAATCGTGCGATTCAGTGGTCGAAGCAGGTATGTAATGTCATTAAGCATGTCGCGTACTGTTGAGATCTAAGCCATGTTAAAAATCTGTGAATTTGAGCACGAATTGGCTTGGGTACGGGTGTCATTCGCGAGGGACAGTGCGCGATCGCTGTTGACGCCAATCAGTATCGCATTGAGAGCATAAAATGGGAAAACATGAGCATGAGGATCTGGAATCGTGAACTTCTTTTCAAGGCTTTCAAATTGTACCGCCTCAAGTACACGCATCATACCCTCGACGCGACACGTAAAGCGCCCAAGCACCATCCACAGCAAGTAACAGCACGCCCGAATAACCCCATGATGATACCACTCATAGTTTGGCCTAGGGCGTACCCATGTTGCCCGTCCTTGGTGACCCTCTTCTGATGATCTGTGGCATGCTTCGTGACATTCGATAAAGACTCTGCTGGGTATGCGTCTATTGAGCGGCAGGCTCCTCGTCCTCGCCAGCAAGTGCGTTGCGCTTGGCAGTGATGCGCTCTTGTCTCCGCTCGCGGGCAGCCTTGGTCTTCGCACGCTTGGCGTCCATCTCTGCCTTGAGCTTCTCCTCACGCTGCTTCTCGGCCTTGGCCTTGTGAATCTGTGGCGAGCACCGTCAGTTTGCGATTCGACGTTTGTGGATGGAGACCACGTGACGAGCTCGTCATGGATGCCTCGGGTCCAACTTACATGCTCGACAAGAGCACGCTTGTGCTTGAAGGTGTTACCCTTGCTCAAGTGGTAGAGCTCGTGGTAAAGGTGCTTGTCGATCTTGCCGGCGGCACGGTACTTGACCAACAGACGGCGGAGGACACGAAGACGGCGCATCCACATGACTTGGCTGCGCATTGTCAGCAATTGTCCCGATTCATCCAAATGAGTGTGCCCCTTCTCGCTTCCACACTAATCCTCCTTCTTTTGCACGTTCCTCATTGACCATCCCACATTGTCCCTCCCAAGATCGGTGCAAACTTACGTTGGCATACGAGCGTCGGCAGTACCCTTCCTCTTACCGAAACCACGGTGACGTCCAATTCGGCGGGCAGCGGTGAGCTCTCGGGCGCGGGCACGCGAGTGCATGGTCACTGGCTTGCGGATGATGAGGCCATCTGCGAGCAGCTTGCGGATCGTCTGACGGGAGTTGGCGTTGGAGATCTCGTTGACCTCATTTGGGTCGAGCCAGATCTTGCGCTTTCCGGCACCAGTGACGGAGGCCGCCAGGCGCTTCTGGGTGCGGAGGTTGACCCTACAGGAGCCGATGTGTCAGTACAAGAGTCTTTCGAGACTGCGTTTTGCCGGTGCGGGCGGAGGGCGTTTCTCGAGGCCGGGGGTGCGCGGTGGTGGCGGCGATCGGGGAGCGTCCAGGTGTATTGTACGCATTCGTGGCCGTACTTACATCTTGACGTCGCTGGGTGGTGGATGGTCGGGGTGGGTGCGAGAGCAGTCGTCGCTGAGGTCAAGCGAAGTGCAAGTCGTGTGTCGACACAGCCCATTTCGAGCGCACGAGGCTTGGCGTGGATTTTTCCACAGATGCCTCAGGCACGCACATGCAGCTCCTCCACAATTTCCATCCCGATACGAACGACATGAACATTTTGCTGAACGCATGCTCAGGTGCATGGGACTTTAATCGTGCATGATATCGCTTCTTATCTCTTCTCTAACTTTGGAACCATTCATGTGAGTGAAGACGTGAACGACATGCCGATTTTTGAGGAATCTCTACATTGTCTGCGTACTCCTTTCCGAGATGCGTCAAGGGAGGCTTCGACAGAGTGCGCATTGCATTCTATGAAAGTCTATTATGGTCACGCCTAAAATTGTGCTGGGATAGATCGAGAACCCAGGAAGACCAGGCAAGTACTTCTTCTCAAAATGTCAAGCAGTGATTTCCATATATTTGCACGGCAATCTCAGGGAGCGATAGCGAAGTCTTCCAGCAGTCCGTCGGAACACCTAACGGCATAGTGCTCTGGCGACAAATGGAGCGTCGGATTACCCAGGCCTCCCGATACCTCTGGCTACCAGTCGCACTCGAGGCGCTGCAGCGGAAGAACTTACGATAGCACCGTCCCGGAAGATTGCGGAGAAAAACACGAGAACACGAAAAATCGAGTGCTTCCATCTCACAGCTCAAGAGCGTCTCTGGCGTAACAGTATCGCCATTTGCATGGCCCATGAGAAGCAATCAGAGGCAAGGTGCCAGATCGTAGTGCTTCCACAATCCGCGTCATTATGCCAAATGTCTCAATGGAACGTGGACTGGCACGCCAGATGTGAAAGCGATCGAGAGCGAGACCGTATGTCCCAGAGTGCATCTACTCCACGCGTGGTCCGCAATTCCTTCGGATAGTTCTTCTTGGGCACAGTCAGGCAGGCACAGCCCATGCTCACCTTCATTGGCGTGATGACCATCTTGTCGGCAGAGTCTGGAAGAGAAAGGCGCAAGCGAAGCGGGAGTGAGAGTCCCTCGCAGGCGAATGCTGGAGACTCGACTACCTTCGAAGAATGACGACGAAGACTGTGGCTTAGTCCAGTCGCTGGCCGGATCCCAATCCCAGTCGTGGAGACCAGTGGTACGGGTACGGGGGGACTGGCCTACTCGCAACGGTTGAGTGCGTTCTCTGAGAGGCCGGCACAGAGATCATTAGCAAGGTCGGAGCATTAGATGGCACAACATCCGGCGAAACATTGGAGAAGGATGTCAAGGCTTCAGGTGCTTCTGCCTGTTGCGATAGTACCAGCGTCAATTCTTCGCGACTCTGGGTGCCTTGGAATGGGCCGGGTGCACAGAGAAAAGCATGCCAACAGTGGTGTTTCCGGAAATCATGCACAGGATTGCTCGGAGGCTTCACGACTTCAAACGGCGTGAAGCTGGCGAGATCGCAGAGACAAGCAGGAGACGCCTCATGCTTCGAGAAATCGCGACGGCAGTTGCACCGGAGCGTCAGCACTCTTGTTGACTCTGCACTTCCACGCCAGACGGAGTGACACGTGGCCGAAGTGCACTCTCAGCGCTCATTTCAGACAGACTCTCTGGAGCGTGGGTGCACTGAGCGGCATCGTTCGTGCATCTCAGGCGGAGAAATGGCAAGCATGGAGGCTGCCTCTGAGCGGGCTCGCGCATTGTATTTCGATGCGACGGGAGTCACGACGCCGCTCTAGCCAGACAACTGGCGGAGAAAGGACGCCGCAACGGATGACAGGTAAAGTACTCTCACGAAAACGCGGTGTCGCAAAGTTACCACGCTGCTCTCCTCCGAAAGCCACCCTACTGGGCAACGGTCGATGGGGGGCATTAGAGAGAGTAAGGACGTCGGAAGCGAATGTAAGGTCAAGAAAGGAGTGTCTTGGGTGGATAGTGCCTCACCCGGGCTTTCCCTAGAGAGTGATCTCTAGTATGTGAACCTTGGACGCGGCGTAGCATGGCGTAAGGTATTCTCAGGGTGTGAGCAGGGGGAGGACGGCCCCTACTCACGAAGAAGAAGAAGGATGTGCGTGAGTGTGACCTCTCACGGCATCTGCGGAAGAAGAATTTTGCTCAGCGGCCGCTGCTCGCGCAGCAGTCGCCTTGCGGCCAAAGAAAAACGGCGGGACCGTCCCTCTCAGGCAGTCAGCCGGAATGGCGCAGTAGCGCTGCCACTGCCATTCCTCCAACGAGAGGTGTGGCTGGAACACCATCAGACCGCCTTCCGGCAATCCAGTGGTATCAGCATCCTCGAGGAGCTCCTGGGCCCTGCTCGGTGAAAGACGAACACGAGAAAACTCGTGAGCGAGATCCACGCGAGAAGGAGTACCAGCCATATTGCCGAACAAGTATGGTGAGCTCCAATCAATCTGAATGTGCGATGGTCAGTGAGTACAAGGGCTTTTAAGGGCACCAAGGCGTCACTATGGATTCGAGATCGATGAAGAAGAAGAAGAGAAGGAAAGAGGGAAGAGAGGGCCTTTTGTGCTTGCGAACTGCCAGCAGAGAGGTGGCATCTTCACATCCATGGCATCGTTGAAAGGTTGTCGAGAAACTCAACAGTCGATGCACACCTGGAAACAATGATGGGTAGCCATTCAGAGAGACAAAACGCGTCTGGTGCCAATGGGTGAGGGAAAGCATATTGGAACTTGCAATTTGGCAAGTCAAAAGACGAATCACTGCAGGCGTAAACGAAGTGCTGTGTGGTAGAAGCGTCAATGCGTACTGACACTGCAATCTGGCATGTTGAAAGACGAATCATTGCAGGTGCCAACTAAGTATTGTATGGTAGCAGAGGAAGTTACTCAACCCCGGCCGACCTTCGGCATGCCGATGCAATTCCACGCAGCGTTTCCTTCCTCAAGACAGCACAGAAAACAAACTGCCCAGAATGACGGAAGCAGAGAAACATTCAGCACGATGAACAATAGCGAGCTTTCATTTCATACTATATATCCTTCTCCTCTCTACACCACATGCAAAGGAATGGGTATCATTACATATGTACAAAAGAGACCGACAAGCTCACCCAAAAACGACCAATCACGATCTAGCAATATACTGCCCACTGGTCAACTTCTTCTGTGTCGGCACGTTCCTCCAAGCTGCGGCCGAAGAAGCAGCAGCCGCGACGCTCTCGTCCGCAAAAGGGTCGGCGGCAGCGGCTGCTCCATCAGTGCCAAGCACACTGACAGCGAGGCCACTTCCAAGACCCTGTGCCTGCTCACCCGAGATCTCAAAGCGTCCTTCCACGTAGCCGCCCGTAGGCTTGCCCTCAGTAACGAACTTTGCTAAGAGCTTGTTGGCTTCGCCGCCAGGACGTAATGTGATCTCATCCAATTGCCAGAAGATCAAATTCTTGTCCCGGGAGAAAGTGCCGACAGGTTTGGACTGGCAGCTCGTGGCTTTGGCACCTTCAAGGGTGAGGGCGATAGTGACATTGTGAAGTGTAACGCTGTCGCTTCCTAGCGCGGCGAAGCTGGGATGTAGTGCATAGCTGACGATGACCATGGCCAGATTCTCGTCAAGTTTGAATGCTGGGGTCAAGAGAACAGGTGTTTGCGACTGTGCCGCTTCGCCGCGCACCTGGTACTTGAAAGCGACAGATGTCTTGGCGATATTTGCCAGATTGACAGAATACTCGCCTTCACGTCCGGAAGCTTGGCCGATGAAGGCTGGATTCGGTGCGACCTTATCAAGTTGTCCAAAGTTCTCCAGGCGAATAGTCTCATGTCCTGACGAAGGGACTGAAGCATCAGGATGGTACGCAAGGGCGATCTCGCCAATCAGCGAAGAAGATGCTAGCTGCCCATTCTCAAACCGAGCAGAGACAGTCTCAATGATCGAAGAGCTCAAGCCGGGGCTCGAAAGCTCGGGATGTCTTTGTGCATAGCTGGCCGAGCTCTGTAGCGAACGACCAGAGCGGATTGAATGATTGTCGCCAGTGTGTTGCGCTGCCAGAGGTGCAGCATAGCTGGGCTGCACAGGAGATTGTGGCTCGCTGGGTGGACTGAAGGGTGCAAATGCCGTTTGCCCTGCGCCGGCTGGGCTGAATGCTCCCGAAGGCGACTGGAGAAGGACAGGTGCTGCCGCCTGAGGCGATGTCGGTGCTGGAGATTGTATGACAGCTGGCGCTATCGCCGGAGGACTCGTAGCCACTGGGGCAGGCGCAAAAGGCTCGCTTCTTTGATTCTCCAAAGAGGTTGTCGAGTTCGCTGTATCGGAGGAGAATCCATCTGGCGCGCCGTACGTGCTTACTATAGCACTATTACGGTTGTCACGCCGGCCGCGAATGGTACCGCCTCTCTTTTGAGTTGGAGGAGGTGCCTGAAATGGTCAGTAAGGAATGCGTCTCCCACACATTTGCATCAACTTACGAGTTTGTTCGCCATGCTCGCCAGAGCAGCATCAGCCCCCTCCTCTTGGATAGGCGCATTTCTAATGTTCACGTTGAACTGTGGTTCCTGCCTGTCTCCAAGCTCCGCTGCATCTGCTTGTGCTTGGGATATCGGATCCAGCTGCTGAGGAGGCACAGAAAATCCCTCGTTATCCCTGCGAGGCTCCGGCGGCGGCTGCACTGCTCTTGGTGGCTCAAGATCAGCCAGATCGTTCTGATGGCTACCATTGGCGACCATAGACGGGAAGGCAGGGGCAAGAGCCGATGTTGCACTTGTAGGGCCGGAACCACTGCCATTAATGTGCGGAATTGGCCCAAGCTGAGGTGCTTGCGAGGATGACATGGCTGACTCTTGCGTTCGCGGAACTTCCGAGATCTCGCTTCCTTGTCTGAACGATGAAGTGGGACGGCGAGACGAAGACTCGGCTTCTTCCTGCGGCGGCTCCATGGAGTAAGAATTCTTGTTGCGTCCTAGACGACCAAAGGGTGATGACTTGGGCTTCCGCTCTGGCGATTCTTCCGTAGTTGGGAGCTGTTGTGGCTGCTTGCTCGACCGTCGCGACATGACAGTACCAAGCCGCTTGAGTCCTTTGAATCCTCCCTTCTTTTGCGGTTCCGGTGTCGAGCCAGGCGCGTCGTCAGGTATCTGTTGGGCACCTGAGGAGGAGCTCGGCACGAACATGCTCGCACGATGTGCATGTCGTACTTCGCTCTGTCTGCGATTCGCGGCCTTGATTGCAAACATTTTGATCTCGTCAGCTGGCTCCACGTTGAGCAGCACATTCAATGCCTGCTCTCCAGCACCACGACTCTTCTCATTTTGGTCCACATCCAGTGTCACGAACTGCGTCAGGGCATCGCGCAGCTGATTCAGACGCGTCTCATCCAATGTCTGCAGGTTATCGAAGACAAACGGCGCCTGAGAATTCCATTGCGCTCGCGCATTTTCCAGATCCGAGCTGGCATTGGCCACTTTATTCGCATCTGCGCTCTCGCCCTTGCCTTGTAGCTTTTCCGCCGCCTTTTGTGCTTTCTCGATCTCTTTCGCTATCTGGGTCAAGTTTCCCTGTATGGTCGGCATCGCCTGAATGTCGCGGTTATTGTTGGCGAACTCGCGGAGCGGTTTCTCGACATCGATCTCGATCCGGGACGCTAGAGACGTGTGCGATTCGGCCAGAGCCTCCATTGAGCTGGTCAACGAGCCCCATGGCACGGTGAAGATGCTGCTAGTCGTCAGCTCAGTCTCCCAGCCTATCGAGTCCTGCAGGTCCATACCCAAGGTCCTCATCCCCAATCGGCTTGCGCGCAAGCCTTCGCAGACCTGCAGCATATTGCTCCTCAAGCTTACTACGCTCCTATTGCCATTCTCTTAGCTATGCAACCTTTCCGACACATTCTCAATGCATGCTTACTTGAAGCCAGTCTGCAATGGTGATATTCAATCTCTTGATCTGCGTCACTCGGTCGTTCAGGATATCCACCGCTTGCGTCGGCTGTACTTTTTGCTATGCGCGAGTATCCGTAAGCTTCCATTTGCTCTACTTGCTCGCAGAAGGACTCGACAGCCCTCTCTGGCTCGTCCCATTGAGCTTACCAGCAAAGCCGGGTAGTCCGACCGATCCGTAGTGGAAGCCATGGGCGCCTAACGCATTCAATAACCTGCACAGAAAACGAAAGCCAAATAATGCGCGCTGCCAATGCCCACGCCAGTAGCAGCAGCAGCAGGAATAGACTGGAGAGCGACGATTGGACGTGGAGGATGAAGTGGTGGAAGCACAAAGATGTGCAAGCTCGAGGCACAAGGCAAGCTGCGATGACCGCCGGCTCGGCAATGGCGCAACAACGATGACCGAAGCGCGCACGATCCTGGGAAAGTCTTGCCAAAACAACAGCCACGAGACCTGCTCTTCTACATCATCGTCATCGTCCATCAGCACCATACCGCTCGGCGGTGGCACTACACATGGCCCACCCCTGCCATCGCATCGCATTCGTCAGCATCCGCGCGGAAGCTGAACAGAAGCAGCCTTGGCACTGTCTGCGCGAAGTCGAAGTCGACCGCAGGCCGGAGCGAGGCTGGTGGGCGGTTGGCGGTGAAACGCCATCACGAAGATGATGCTGAAGAAATGCACGCACGTGTGTCACGAAAAGTATATTCTGTGCGTATGCACGAGCATGTTACGCCGAACATGTGTGACCACATACAAGCAAGGGAAAGGCAATCCATTCTACTGATCGAGCTCTTTGCTTCTTGGCCAGAATGTGAAGATCAGCCATAGCAGCCAGAGCATCGCTCAAACAGAAGCAACAAGTTTGAAAAATTGAAAGGGAGAAGGTATTGCAAATTTTGATGAACTGATTCCATTAACTGCTACACTAGTATACAACTCATCATTCATTATTCGTCAGAAATACAAGCTCGAATTCCCCACTAACTCCTCCGCCATGCGAAATCCCCCTCGAATCTCGAAGTCAGACCTAGTCAGTCGATCCTCTACTCAATGTTGATCTTCTTGCTCGAAGGAGCCGGAGCCTTGGGCACAACAATCGAAAGAATTCCATCCTTCAAGCTGGCCTTCACATTATCCTGATCGACTCGAGCAGGGAAGGAGAATGTGCGAGCGAACTCTCCAACCGAGCGTTCAGAGAGCCAGTACTTCTCCTTTGGTGCTTGGTGTTGCTGGACTTGCTTGCTGTCGGCCGAAGACTTCTGGACTTGAGTCGAGTTGGCTGCGTTCTCGTCCTCGACAGTTGGCTGGTGGGATTTGTTCGAGTCTTCGATCTTGCCTTGCTCAGCGGAACCCTCGATGAAGCCGGATGGGCGAGTGCCCTCTTCGCGGACGTGTTCAGTGCGGCCCTTGATGGTGAGGGTTTGGCTGTCGGTGAACTCGATGTTAATGTCCTTTTGCTGGATTCCTGGCAGTTCGGCGTGGATTTCGTAGTTCTGTTGATTCTCCTTCACGTCCACTTTTGGTGTGAAAGACTTGAAGGAGCGGGAGACGGAGTAGTTGCCATTGCCGGATGTGTTTGCCACGTGGCGGGAGTAGTCATCTGCCAGCTTGAAGAGAGGCTGGAAGGTTGCGAACTCCTGTTCGAATGCGCGTGGGAAGAAAGACATTTTGCGTGTGGTGGTGTAGGTTGATGGAGTAGGTTTGCAGGTGCGTGCGACTCGCGGTAGGTTGTTGAAGAGTGTTCTTTGCATGTAGTGCTTGTGAGTTGTTTCTTGTTGTTCTGATGATGAGCTGAAGAGAGTGAGAGCAGTGCATACTTATACCTGTGGAAGACCTATCTATGGATGCCTACGAGGTGTTCTGGAGTCATCTTCGATGATGCGAGAGTCGTCTAGAATAGTCCTCTGCTGTCGTAAGCACTGCAAGCGAAGCATTCGAATGGGACACATCGAAGTCTTCGAGATACTTCAGGTCAGCCTTCGAAACGTCGTGAACGTACGCCGCCACTCCAGTCACTTCAGGATCATGCTAGGTGCTTCCAGAACACCTGGGACAGCACTAGCCCAATCGGGCGAAATGCCAAGACAGTCACGTGTAGGCAGTCCTTCGAGCACACAGGCCAAACGTGACAACCTCTACGATCGACCACCACGGCGCGGCAGAGTGGCTGAAAGTGAGTGCCACAGTGGACATTGGGCAGACGTGCATCTCTGGCTCTCCGCTCGGCTGTCTCATACCTTCCAATGGCAGCCGATGATTGGCCATTCGGCATCTCTGTACTACGAGAGCTTCCACGATCAAATCACGAATCAGATCTTTGTGAGACCTTAGCACACGTGCTACACCTCCATCCGTCCTCATCTCGAGGCGGATGGTCATCATCAGACACTCGCAGCGGCGCAGCAGCGCCCACCAAAAGAGAGCACCCGCACAGAAACGAGTCAGATTCAAAACCCAAAAGGGCTACATACCCTCCCTCAAACATGCCAACGAACGAATAGAATCGCGCAAAACGCCCAAGGAAAAGCCTCCCATTGCCCCAATACTGACGCCTCGTCACAGTTCCCTCAAGGAGCCACGCCGGATCATAGCCGCCGCGTCCCCTGCTCGGCACATTTTACCTTCCGGTAAAAAAGTATGGCGCAAGAACTACTGCACGTCGTTCACGCATCTGAGAGAAAAAGCGTAGTGGTCCGCACGGTAGCCCTATGCAAGGTACTGGAGCATGGGCCTCGTCGTCTGCGAAGCTTGTCCAGACGTCGTCTCTTCTTTCTCAATGATTGTACAGTGAATGGAAATCTCATTGTCGTCGTAATATCGTCAAGGATCGCGCCGGTATCATTACACTCTTTGCTGAAACTTCCAGGATCGTTTTGGCGACTAATAGTCCACGGGAGCCGGATATCTTTGACTTGCTGCGCGGTATTGTTGTGGGTATTTTTGCGCTGCTCGTGCGTTCAATGCGCTGGTGATCGTTAGCAAATGTTCTCGTGGATAGAGTTTGTTCGCAATGTGCGCACCTGACTTTCTTTTGCGTCCAATCGAGGTCTCGTTGCACGTCTTTTGCAGCTTGCATGCCTTCTGCGAAGTTGGCGCGAGTCTTTGCCAATCGTGCTCTGGCCTGTGCTTGCAATGCTAATATTTCGCGGTTCTTCGCATTTAGTGCGCCAGACCTATCAACATCAGCTTTTGCGCCGGAAATGTCAACGACATTGATACTCACATTTGCGCTTGGCTCGCCAAATTCTTGTCCAATGGAATTGGGTTGTAAGCTTGCGAAAGACGATCGTTCATGTAATCGAGCAGATCGACGCTCGTGGCGCCGCTCGACGAGTCGTAGTCGCTGCCGCCATATGCGCTTGATGCAGAGGAGTACAATCCCGCACCAGTCGACGAGACGCTCTCTGGGCGTTCTGGTGGTGACGCCGATAGCTGGCTGTACGCAGACGGGTTTCGTGCGTGTCGGGCATTCTGCGGTGTCTTTCCGGGTACGTTAACCGGGAGCGTTCCGGTGGGATACTGGTAGTAAGAGGTAGACATGGTAGCTGGCTGTGAGTAGTGTTGGACAACGACTAGGTGTGACAAGAGGTAGTTGCACGTGGGTGATCGACTGTGATTGCAGACAAATGTCAAAGAAAGGAAACAGGAGCACTCAGCCTTCGTGTCACCTTTTTATACCCTCGCTGGCGGTTCAGCGACAAGCATTGAGGAGTCTGCAGCATGGTGAGCACAACACTTGCTGCGCGTGATAGCTGGAGCTCCAGGCATCGAGCCTGTCAGAGGCATGAGGGCATGCGGCCGACAGGCCTCTCAGAGCACGGGCAGGATGGAGCGGCCAATGTGTGAGAGGCGATACCGCCGAGGCTCCCGGCCATGGCATGATGGCAAGAGTCACAGCAGTATGCCATTGGCTTTGACAGAAAGCTAATTGCTAGCTCCATGCACATGTCAGTAGCTATGCCGTACCATTCCTGTGCCGGTGGGTCAAATATCCATAGCAATATCCTATCGGCGCAACCGAGCTGGAGGGAGTCGATACTCAAGGTTGCGAGACTAATGTACCACAACCGTCATGCCCTAGACCGGTACAGGAAAGAGCCGTCAGTCCGCGAGCAAGTGGCCCAGGGCATCCATGTCTGAGGAGGAATGTGAAATCCGGTTGGAATGTTTGCGCAAAGAGGGCTTTTGGGCGAGGAGGAGCGCTGGGATGGGCCTGATCGGGAGCGCGCAGCAAAGCAAGGCCAATGTCTCATGCAGAACGTCGCGCGCGCCGTGGGACCATGACAGACGGGAGCTGTCAAGCGCGCCGTGCCACATGGCATGGGTACACGACATTGGGAACCAGAAAAAGCGTCGACGCTGTGAGCATTGGACGAAGCCAGACGTCGGGTGTCGTTGCGCGACCAAATTTTGCCAAGTCGCGCTAGCGGCAGCGAAGCGAGCGAGGACCACCAACGACTCGGCCGCCCACCACCAGTTTCACGCTGCCGCCACGCCGCGCCCTGGCCCAGACGATCACTGACTCTCCACCGACACCGCACCGCACGTCGTCGTCGCCGCTGATCAGCACCGCTGCCCGCCATGTCGTCGCGTCGTGGTCCTCACCGGTGACCCCGCGCCGCCCGCTTCGTCCCAGGACTTTTTGCCGCCTCCGCCGATGGCTGCCCAACTCCATGACGTTCGGGCAGTCTTGCTGCTCGCCCTGCACGCCTTCCAGACGTGGCCCACGGAAAGCCTCGCGGTCAACTGCAAAGCCTTCGCTAGTGCTCCGCGAAGGAGGTCATGGCCTGCCATCGTTTGGACGCCTGCCTGCTGGCGCGACGGCTTGCGCGGATAGCCGCAGGAGCTTTCGAACAAGTGCTTTCCTTATGCGATCAGCTCCCTGACCGCTACAATGACTCCATGTCTTCATAAAAGCAAAGACTGTTCACGTTATCACGATCGACATTTGTACTGCCGAACGACAGCTTCCATCTCGACGTGCTGTCTTCACGGACCAAGCACTTTGCAGTTGACTTGGTACCCAAGGTCATACCGAAGGGCGCACGGGAGCGATGATCCGCGTCGGCTGAGCGAGGCCTGCCATAAGACAAGACCACCCGACTGAAGCAAGACTCAGCGACGAGCGTCCAACACCTGACTGCCTCATTCCGAGCCTGCAAGAACGCTCGCAGAAGACGCAGAGCGGAGCAGCCAGGCCGGGATCGTCAAGCAGTGACCACAAAACACGTCCGACAGGACAGCACTGTGCAGCTCTGACACGCTTCAGGAGGCGAGTTTGTCCTGCGGACGAAGCCAGGAGAGGCATCTCCAGCTTCCCGCATTTGGCGAGCAGCGGCGCACTGCTGCAGCATCACTTGCGTCCGTTGTGGATGGCTGTTTTGCTTTGTCGATCCGTCAGGTCTCGGAGTTGACGAGGCCAACGAAGCGTCTCCGTTCTTGTAGCAGGCCTGCGGCATGCAACATTCCGGACCCGTATATGCAGAAGGGCATTGCTCCAGCGTGTCGAGATCAATCGTGCTACCAGCACATGAATCCGTCTTGCAGCTGCTTGTCGTTCTCAGCTGTAGCCGATACAGAGACGCCACCAGGGGTAGGTCACGCACGTCGTTCGCGATCCGTTCCACCTATCAGTCGTGCATTTCAAGCGTCATTTCACTCACACCACCCCTGACAATGTGCGAGAGCTCCGCGTGTCACTTGGAACTGATTGAGCAGAGCTTTCCGTCTCCTTGGCATTATGTGAAACAACATACTCACTTTTCGCCTATATGACCGCTGTGCAGGTCCAAACAGTGCCCTTCACAAAACTGCCTTGGCAGAGGGCCTGTCCATTCGGTTGACCAATTCAGCATGTACGCATTGCCTGCTATTTCACTTCACGAGCGATTGTTTGCAAGTCAGCAAGATCGTCCGAATTGTAAATATCGGTGTGCATACAGCTCATGGGAAGCGCATGTAACATTAGATGATTTGTTCTGAACATCGACACACAGAGAAGAGAAGCGGCGCGAAGTGAAGGTGGAAAGTTTGCTAAAGATATTAACAGCCTTGAAATCATATACTTCAGTTGACATTACCGCGTCACATGCAGGTTTGGAGTGTCATTCCCAAGCTCATCGCGACAGTCGACAGCCAAATTTCTCGCCTGATATCTTGCAGAAGGATGTCTTTACCACGGTACAAGGCTAGCAACGTGAGCGAAACCCAACCCGAAGAGAGACAGTCGATGTACCCCAATCTTGAACGGCAAGTGATCCCCTTTGTGGTGCAGTTAGTGAGCGAAACTAATCGATGGGTAGGATGTTTGACAAAGGCGAATGGTCCGACCTGAAGATCAAAACAGCGACACACACCTTCGAGGTGCACAAGAATATCGTCTGTACTGCATGTCCGTTCGTGCAAGCTGCCTGCGCTGGAGATTAGAAAGAGGCCCATACTGGAATTGTTGAGCTGCCTGAGCCTGAACATATCGTCAGAGCGATGCTTGCCTATTGCTATGGGCTTTACAATGCAAAGGATTTCGACATAGACAGCCCAGCTGACGATGGGTGGATCATTTACTGCGAGCTGCTGGTGGCTGCCGACAAGGTTCGCTTTTGATTTCAATGACTCAAGTATGGAAGTCCTCGAAGCTGACGCATGGACAGTATAGAATCGAAGGCCTTAAAATCATGGTCACCAAGTATCTTGAACACCAAATGGCTTCGGAGTTGATGGGAGGTGATTTATCCTTGATCGCCCTTTGGCTCTACGAAGGAGAACGCCGACAAATATTTGGCCCACGACTTACGCGGAAAGTTATGATAGAGCTCGCGCTCCAATTGGATTTTGTCATGAATCATGGATACTGGCCAGGAGTTTTAAGATGTCCGGAGTTGGTGACAGATCTCATGGGCTTCGTGGCGCGCCGCTCTTCTCGGGTTGAATTTGGCCACCAGATTAGCACACCGGATCACCTCTGCGTCAATGCGTGGGAGAGTGATAACGATGAGTGATTGTGCTGTGGCGAGGCCTTGCATCATATTTGCATGATGGGAGTAAAGAGGCAACATATTCAGGACGCATGGAATCTACAGCATCCGCCAGAAAGGCACGGCATTGCTCGGTTTCCTGGCCCAGAGAGGCTTGCAGCAGGTTCGAACAACGAGCTAAGAGAATTGCTCCTCTGCCTCGACCAATTACAAGATCAACATCGTGGCGCGACTCACGGGCGTCGCATATGACAGCTCCGTGCTCACTCACGGGATGTAGAAGCTTTTGCACACTACAGGACGGCACCAACAGGTCTCCACTTGGACACGAATTGTGGCGGTATGCCTGCCAGCTTAGTCGACCACTTTGGCATACGCGCAAGTTCCATGAGCTTCCTTTCGGCATGATTGCTCCAGCATCGGAGGGAATGAGACAGTTCGTATGTATACAACCAGAGCACAAGCAGTCCATTATGATGCATTATGACCCTTGTCATATGAAGAGATAGCTAGGCAACAGCGGGCGGCGCGAAGTGAAGCTCATCTCACATCGACGAGCTCCGACATGTGCCAATTGCCAGTCATGTACCACATGCCATAACGCTCACTACCTGCCGCAAACAACCGACCATATTTTCAAGCACTTTCCAGAGTCGTCGTCCAACCAACATCGCCACTTGCAACAACTGATAAGTCGTTGACATTGCTTTTCACACTACGACGCGAGATTTGTGATTAGCCCGAGCTGGAAGCATGGAAACTAATGGGGATGATTGCTATAACATTCTCTGGCAGTAAGTTGCGCCCTTTATGAACAGCAGCTAATATTGCGATACTAATCGATTGCTAGAATGCTCAAGAACGAAAAATGGTCGGATCTGAAAATTCAAACGGCGACTTACACTTTCAGTGTCCACAAAAGCGTCGTCTGCCCTGCCTGTCCATTTTTTGAGGCTGCCTGCACCGGAGACTGGAAGGAAGCTGGCTCCGGGATTATCGAACTGCCCGAGTCTGAACGCACGGTTAGAAGCCTACTGGAGTGGTGCTACGGGGTTTTCAACACTGATTACTTCACGTTGGCCAGTGGTAAAGAGGACACGCTGCGCTACTTCGAATTGCTCGTGGCGGCTGACAAGGTCAGTCGATGGCTACAATACTTCACGACCAAGCTGAACACTGACGCTAGGTAGTATCAAATGCCCGATCTCAAAGACGAAGTGGAAATCACGTTTGGATTCGCAGGGACCGCTTCGGATCTTGTGAAAGTTGCGCTCTGGGTTTACCAGGAGGAACGACGACAGGCGATTGGCGTGGAGTATATGCGTTCCCTCATCGAGATACTCGCGTGTGACATGGCCAAGATCTTGAACGGCGATTGCTAAGAGAAGATTCAGGAATGCCCTGAGTTAGCCAAAGATCTCATGCGGTACGTGGCGCAAGAGTCCTCTCGTGTCAATAAGAGACGGAAGCTCATCGATCCGGAGCATCTACGCAAGCCTGCAGAGGCCACCGACACCGACATCGAGCCCGACGAGGACACCGACGACAGCGATGATTGAGTGCGCTGGCAATACAGATCCTATCCGCATTCGTGAGGGCGAGCATTACCACAATTACCTCGCATCAACTTCACAGCCTCTACCACAGTGAGGAGGACGGAGGCATCGAAATAATTCCAAACGGCAAGTTGTCGGACCGCCGATGCGCCTGGATCGAATATCGAATCACTACAGGGAGATGAAGTGGTCCAGACATTTCCCAAGCGCGTGGGTATGCTCGATCATCACGAATCGCAACAAACACGACACATGAGACTAGGAGAAAATTCTCACAGGATCTCGTCTTCATAAGTCGTAATACATAATGAGAATCAACCTTGCAACGCATCGTACAGTTCAGGCCTCTCCAAAAGTTCTCTCTTACAAGTAGAATACCACCACGACATTGCAGCCCAGCGGCAAAGTCGCATCTGTTTTAGATCGTCCTTTATTCCAATGCAAGCAATGCAAATACCACATCAGCCCTCTGTTGCCCAAAACCGAACATGCCCGTTCAACACCACATCCAACTCCAATCGGCCCGATATCCTCACATTCAGTGGCAAACACCACAACACTCCAAAACCTCACAACACTCCAAAACACCTCAACCCAAACCCCCATCACCCAAAATCCACATCCTCAATACTTCTTCTTCCACCCACTCGGCGGCCTAGGCGAAACCGGACTCGAAGGCGTCCGACTCGATCTCGTCGAAGAATACGAATTGGACTTAGATTTGTGCGATCGCGACGAAGCAGTCCTCGGTCGCGAAGAAGCGACATAAACAGAAGAAGACCTCCTCGGACGACCGTCAGATGTCGTGGTCGTGGAACTGCGTTTTTTGACGTATTCGAGATGTGGATCGCCAAAGTAGAGAGGACGTCGGTTGGGGTTGAGTTCAGCCTCTTCGGTGAAGGCGCCGAAACACATTTTGATTTGACTGTTGATGAGATTGGTTTTGGAAGATGTTATAGTTTCGAAGACAATTGTATTTCGTGAAGTTTGTTGGAAGTAATAGGAATTGGAAGCTCGCGCGCGCTTCGAAACGTGTTGTGGTCGTCTGTTCGGCCTTAGCTGAATTGTTCCGGAGGATTATGCAGCCGCAGCAGCTGCGCTTCGCGTGTTTGAGAGGGCGTCGGCGCTAAACAATGTTGGCGTTTGTCCAGAACCGGTGTCGTCGTTCTAGCTCCAGAAGCTGGGCTGACGGGCTGTGTGCAGCGTGCGGCCTCTCACGTCCAAAAGGTGGGGTGGGGGTGGGCTGAGGTGATTTGAAGAAGACCCTCTCAGCACGAGCACGAGTCAGGACTTGTTGTAGAAGCTAGATGCCTGTCAGAGACCAGAAACCAGCGGGAAAACCTTGCGCAGTGCGTTTGTTTGTGCAAAGTGTGCCGAGTAAGTTGTGAGACAAGTCTTGCGAAACGATCGGAGACTTGTCACTTGTTACCTTCGATGTCGCGATGTGACTCGCACGTGGTGCTGTAAGCGTTTCCATTGACGCTGTGTGCAGTCCTTGGGTGTGACGCTTGTGACACGTCATGCCGGCGAGGTATAGACTTTCCTGCTGCTTCCGCCATTGATGAGCGTCAGATCCGTCGCAGCTCGGAGTACCGCGAGACCTTGGGCTTGAGTCTCAACCGTCCTGTTGTCGGCTGCCTGTCTCGGGTACACTGTGCGGCGAGGCTTAGATGCGCTTGCATGAGCACAGTCACTGCCGGAGCACTTCCAAGGATATGTGTCGAGTAATTGAGGTTGATTGCAAATATCGATACTTCCGTCAGGCTTCGACTCAGCATATTTTGGTGCAGCTCCTTGGGTTTTGTTCAACTGGAGATCGGTCAGTTCCAATCCGCGCTGGTAACAGTGAAACCAATACTTACATAAGGCGCACCCCACCATTCGCCCATGACTTTGGTACCATCGCGTGTACTCAGAGCAGCATGCGCGTTGTGTTGCACCCAAGGCGAGTAGCTTGCGCATCGGTCACTGTGGTGCTGCGCAAGCTCAGTCGAAGCCAACACACTAATGCCATCAACAAGAGGCACATCGGTAGGTAGTGATGTGCAGAAGTAGTCAAAGTGCTGGAAATAAGCACCCTTGAAGATCAAATTGTCCTGAGAACAATTCGCAGGAGCGTCGCAGTAGTCTTCAAGTATACCATTCCGACCCAGACCAGCCCATTCACTGGCTTGGTCAGAGACATCCGCATCCCAGCCTGTGGCATTGATTACTGTTTCGATTAGACTGTAGCCATCATCCAGATAAGAGGTAAGTCCTGTCGCCTCCCATAGCCCACGAAGACCGGTCAGCATGACTCCTTGGTTGTAGGTATACACCATCTCGTTTCGTTCGTCGCAAGTGGTCTGGTTCGGCGTAATATGAAATCCGTCGACGATTAATCCTTGTGCATTCGTGAAATTATGCGTCTTGAACCACGCCCATTCGTCCTGCGCATTCTTCAGAAAGATCGGATCGTGTGCTGAAATTGGCTGCAAGGGAGGAAGCGTTTTGTTGGTTTGAGCAGTGTAATTGGGATGTGGGTAAGGATCGGTATCGCTATCGCCTGGGAAGAAAAAGTACATCATAATGGAGCTGGACACAAACAGCTCATTGGTGATTGCGTTCTTGTAAGTCTCGAGTGCCGGGTTCCTGCAGCGAAGCGAACGTCAGCATATTTCATGTACTCTGGTCGAGGATCAACTTACCAGGTCAGACCCCCCTCGCATTGCGAAGTATTGAATTTATCTTGAACGATATTGTAGAAGATGTGTGCTCGATGCGCAAAAGCCGAAATATCGTCTATCCCAAGTCCGGATTGTGAGTATGCTTGGTACTGGTTGATGAATCTGATGACTTCGAGCCATTCCATTACGACCCATTGTGCATCGTCATATGCTGCGTCGAATATCTGTATAGTATCCTCACTATCGTAATAAGCTTGAATCTGTGAGTAGTAATTGCGGATATCGCTCTCCAGTTGGACCTTCGTCTCATCTCCGTAGACCTGAAGGCCGTCAACGAAAGTACGCTCGGACGAAGCCACAATGGTATCAATCAGAGCGCCAATCCATTGTATTGTACTTGGCCAGTAAGTGCCATTCCAAAATGTCGCTTGCATCGTTGCGAGAGCACCTTGTGTCTCGCTGAACCAGAACTCAGGGCTAGTGTCTGGTCCAGTATATCTCCACCGAGGCTCATCGCCTCGATAGCCATTCCAGAATGTCGTCTGCACTGCAGCCGAAGAGGAAAATATGATAGGGTGAACAAGTGACAGGGTTACAAACCATGACAGGAACATGGTGAAGAACGAAAGACATGCAATGAAGATGACCAGGGCTTCGCAGACCTGCCACAGCAGGGCACTCGCTCTTGAAGAGCCATCTGCGACGGAAGAGCCATTGTCTTGCGATGGGGGCGGGGAGGAGGTCTTCGGCATGGCGAGCCTAAACGCGTTCAGCCTTTTCCAGAAACAACGTTACATGAGATTCCGGGATTGTGGTGCATCGGATGTTCCTGCATGAACCGCTCTTCTCACCCGTTGAGCTTGGAAGCGGAACCACGGGGAATGCAGAAGAGGTAGAGAAAGAGGGCAGTGTGGCTAGAGGCCATTGTGGGGGAAGCGCCGTTAGCATTTATAGGCCCGAGAAGGAGAAGGGCGGTGGGAGGACCTCGGGAGGGCTGGGTGGAGGGAAAAACAGCTCGCTGGTCAGCGCCGTCACTCGCAGAGGTCATGTTGGACTGATATAGTGAGCAAAGGGTGCAAAGTGGTGTACTCGCATCGGAGGCCATAATGCATCGCGCTCGTGCGCACCAATTCTCACGTTGGAGGAGTCGCAAAGTGGTGTGCGTTGACGAAATCCATTGGATCGGCGGCAGGGGCTCGTGACACTTTCGCGTTGCGGAGCAACGCCTGTTCCTGAATTCGGGCGTGAATGCGCTGGCCGCATGACGCCTCGACTCTTCCTTCTTATTGTTGACAACCACACAGCTTTTAGGCTGTCGACGGACATGCGGACACGATAATCGCAGCAGTCATGCCGTACAAGGCGCCCGTGGCTGCGAAGCCTTCGAAACAGATCTTCGACCCGTTCAACTCGTCCGCCACCGGCCACCAACGCGCCGAAAACCGACTCGGTGGGAGTACTTCATGGCGCGATTCGAGGAGTCTGAAGCTGCGCGAACAATTCAGTGCTGGTAGCGGGGGTGGCAAGCGCATGAACGATACCGTCGGTGCTGGCAGTCTAGACTTTGGGCAAGATGGTCGGACTGAGAATGGCGGATGGGAGAGAGGAGCAAAGGGCTTGCGAACGGGAGGTCGGCAAAGCATCTGGGAGAACATGAAAGTCAAGAAGGAAGAGGAAAGCGAACGACCGGCGAAGCGCGTCAAGACGGATTCGTCAACATCGAAACCGAGTACAATCGTAAGCCCGTTCACGCCATACAAGAAGCAGGATGGAACAATCCGCGAAACAAGCTGGACTTCACACGAGTTGTCGCCATCAGATCTGCTCGAGCCAATATACACGCCAGAGAAACCCGACGAGTCCGCGAACGTCATGGTCAAGCAGGAGCAGGACTCGACACAATTCGGGACAGCAGCGGACAACAGTACTGTTGCGGCTGTGGAAGAAGATGAGGTTGCAAAGAAACCAGCTGCACCACAGATCTTCACTAATCTCACGATATACCTCAACGGCTGCACAGCACCCCTTTCAGACCACAAGCTCAAACACCTCATCAGCACTCACGGTGGCAATATGTCAATATCACTGGGCCGAAGAACAGTCACCCATGTAATCCTAGGCAGGATCAACGCAAATGGGGGCGCTGGCGGTGGACTTGCCGGAAGCAAAATCCAGAAAGAAATTGCGACTCTGCGCGGCAAAAGCGTCAAATTCGTCACAGCCGAATGGATTGTAGACAGCATCAAGGCTGACAAGAGACTGCCCGAGAGCAGATACGAAGCGACGAAGTTGGCGCCAAAGGGCGTAGCCAATATCAGTACTATGTTTAAGCCGACAGGGAAACCGTGACAGTCATGCATGAGGAAAGGAGTTTTGGGAAGGCCCGGGTCATGATTGACATTCTGAGATACCCGGCGATTATTAGCGCCACTGCATAGAAAGGATAGAATGAGACGATTGAGTATACATCTATTACTTTATCGATTTTGCGTATGCACAGTTTCGTGGCACACACTTCGTATATACCCTTAGCTGCCTGACGACCCAGCTCTGAGCTGCTGCAGGATTCGAACTTAATCTGACGCTGTCAAGCATAGTGGGACGCCTGAAAGCAGCGCCTCACCAGTAGTCGACAGCTAAACAACCATATGTCACAATCATCAATTCTGTCTCTACTCCATGGAGTCACACTTTCAACATGGAACTGTGTGACCTTTCACGCCCATTATCCACAAATCTTCCTCTCATCTCAACAACTCTCCCACAGCACATCCGAATAACACCCAACTCAATCCAAGACGCTCATGACTGGAGAATTCTATATCATCTACGTTCCACGACAAAAGCTTTGAACCCAGATAGGATTCCGCCTCTCAAGCTCAAGATTAAGCGGAGAAAGACATTTCGTGTGTTGAATGTCCTTCCGGCAAGCACAATTACATCAACACTAAGCCAAGATCAAGAAGCTACACAACAACAGACGGGCGAAGTAGCACAGCTTTATTCTCATCGGCATGGTACCGTAATTTCTTGTGAAAGGCAGATATGTCAAACTTTGACTTGGAAGAGGAAGTGGAGGGTATGTGGTGGGATGGTGGATGTGGGAGGGTACAGGTGGCAAGCGTTGCAGCAGGAAGAAGATGGTAATGTTGCACCGTCTCCCGAAATGGATGAGAAGCTGGAGGCGTCGAAATCGCTTGATGATCGTGGAAAAGTAAAAGGGAAGACGATGGCTCCTGGAACTTGGATTCCGTTTTTGGTGAAGAGGGAAAAGAGAAGTGATATTTGGTGTTGGAGATTACGAGATGCGACTTCTGGTCAAGTTGGCGGTAGTGGAGCAGAGGATGAGGAAGAGATTGCGGCTTTGATGGAGGAAGGGAGGTTAGCATTCGTGAGTGAAAAATTAGTTAAAGAAGAAAAGCAGCGGATCTTGCTGACTGCCGTTGCGATCACAGAGTGGGAGAGATGGGGTAAACGGCCTGGGCTCGCAGAAAAAGCGCGACAGCGAGTATTGAGGTTATTATGTTTCATTGCATGAGCTTCTCTTTGAACTTTAGCCAGGTTTGCGCCATGCGAGAAATGGCGCAGTGTATACAAGTCGAGGTTGAGCATCGTCTCTTGAGCCATTCATGTCGTCCGTCGCTGCCATATTTCCAATACCGATGTACGGTGTCGATCGTCTTACTGTAATGCCAGCTTGGCATGCTTGAATTTCTTGCCTCCAGAGCCGTACATGGCTGCCGTCTGCCCATTGCCCGCAATTCGATATTCGTGAATCATGAGTCCTTCTAGTCCAACAGGTCCTCTTGCGTGGACCTTGTTTGTGCTGATTCCAACCTCAGTGCCGAAACCAAACCGCATGCCGTCAGAGAATCGAGTCGAGGCGTTCCAATACTTGCATGCTGCATCCACGCCATTGCAGAAACGATCTGCGACATCTTCCGATTTTGTGATGATAGCGTCTGTGTGGTGAGAGCCAAAAGTGTTGATGTGTTCGATTGCTGCGTCGATGGCCTGTGACGGATCGTTGGGCGAGCCTTTGATCGTCTTGATTGCGAGGATGAGGTCTAAGAACTCCGTTTGGTAATCTGCATCGGTGGCGTCCTGAAGTGAGGAAGCTTCGTTGCCCAATGCAGACGAAAGTGCTGATTTCGATTCGGCGTCGCAACGTAGCGTAACTCCCTTTGCTATCAGAGCTTTTGCGACTGAAGGGAGAATCGTCGTCAAGGCGTCCTCGTGGACAAGTAGTGTTTCCACAGCATTGCAGGCAGCAGGATAATCGGTCTTGGAGTCGACAACGACGTTGACGGCCATCTGCACATCAGCATCAGGGTGGATATATAAGGCGCAAAGGCCGTCGGCATGCCCGAGCACAGGCATGTGAGCTTTTGTTTGGCAATGCCTGACAAGCTCATTTGATCCTCGCGGAATGACGAGGTCGATATATTGACTGAGTGTGAGCAGAGAATCGATCGCATCACGCGTGGCCACGAGTTGTATTGAGTCGTTCGGGACTTCTGTGGCTTCAAGGGCTTTTCCGATAGTCGAAGCAATGACCTTAAAGGACTCTGTCGACTCTTTGCCGCCCTTCAAGATGGCCGCATTCGCAGATTTGATCGCCAGTGAAGCGATATTGGCGATAACTTCCGGTCTGGCCTCGAAGATGATGAGAAGGACGCCGATAGGGCATGTTTGCCGTGTGAGGATGAGTCCATCATCGAGTTCTGTGCGTAAGTCCACTCTGCCGACTGCAGAAGTCAGCAGAGCGCGACAGAGTTGTCTGAAGAATACGAGAAGAGGAAGTGAAATGTAAGTGAGCTTGCCGAAGGATCCTGCACCTACCTGGATCTGCGAGACCTCGAACATCTTTAATCCCCTGCAGCATATCATCGAACTTGCCCTTCCGGGAAAGATCGAGGCGCTTGTAGATGCTGGGGTTCAATTCTCCGTTTGCTGTAGATTGCTTTGCCTTGTCAAGATCTATGGCATTCGCTGCCAGGATGTCGTCTCTGGCTGCTGCCAGCGCATCGTGGATTGCATCCAAGGCGCGGTTCCTGGCATCTTCCGACAAGATGCCGAGCGTTCTGGATGAGACCTTTGCAGCACGCGCGGCTTGCTCTGGCGACGCGTTGGTAAGGGACATGGCTGGACAATGGTTTCGTGTTTGTTGAGGGGCAACCGCAATTCTGTAATGACTCCAAGGCTGGGAGTCGGCATCCCAGTACTTTTACCGCCAGAAATTGATGTGGGCTTGTGAGTTGATGCCTCAGGCGACATCATCCTATTCGTGTTGTTACCTCCTACATCGGGATGCCTTTCTGGCCTTCGTAGCTACATCATCACCACCTTCGACTTGCTGACCAAGGATCGCGATCTTCTCTCGGGAAAGGGACAATCCTACCAGTACGTGCGATGGCTGTCTTCAAGCGTAGCCTTTGGAACTCGGCCTCGGGGCCATCTTGCCCGCTCTCGCCAATTTCTTCTCTGACGCTGCCGCTACGCTTGTTGTTCTATCTGCTTCGGGGCCATCGAGAAAGAGCTACGTGACATCGGTCCGATCTTTGAAGAGTCAGAGTCTGTTGGCATTCGAACGCGTCGCCGTCGCCCACGCTCTTACCCCAAGTTTCGCGAATAGGCCTACACAGGTATGGACTACTTTCTCACAGTGTTCTCAAGCGACGCCTTTACTCGGTTATCAAGCTGTCTCAGTGGGGCAGCTTTACTTTCACTTTCTCAAGCGCCAACTCTCCTGTCCGCCTCCGCTCCGTCGCACACACCGCATGGCTGTGCACACTGCACTAGTATACAGAGCCAGAAGCGGTGCTAAGTACAAATCAGGCAGCCAAGCATCGAACTCGGATCTAGTTGTTCGGCGTGGCTGCACTGCAATACTGCTATTGCTCAGTGAGCCTTTCCGGCACAGCTGCATGCCATGCAGCCATCGAATGATCGTTTATCGCACACTTGGTGAGCTGATGGCAATGGGAAGCGTATTTATTGGTAAAGGAGAGAGACATGACCTCTGGGTGCATCTTGGTCCCTCCTAAGCTCCCCATTCACCGTTTTGTGCATCTCTTGCTCTCTGTGACAATGAGGTCCTGGCTCTTTGTTTTCCCTCTTGCTGCGATGGCCAGCACCGAGATACTCTTGAAACCCCGTCAGGCCGGCGAATTTTGCTCCTCTTGGAGGCCCTGCACGGAAGGTGGCCAAGCTACACAACTCACCACTTACTGCCGCTCCATTTTGAGCATGTCGGACCAGACTAGCACGATCACAGCATACGACAGCAGAACGACTGAGAGTAGGACAATCACGACTAGCGTGGCTGCCACCACGACGTTTTATGGCACTACTGTGACCACCACCTCGACCGTCACAGAACCAACGAGTACAGCATATGTCTACACCAGCACCGCCACCACAGCCAGCACAAGTACTGTGACGGTCACTCCGACGGTGACGACGACTATGACCACTCAAGCTCCGGATGCTACATCAGTCATATCTCAATGCCTGGCTCCTGGTCTCAAGCAGCAGGACAAACGAGACCTGGTCGAGGATCATGGCCTAATCAAGCGACAGTCTCCGTCTTCATCTGTACCCATCCCGAATTGCTTCCTGAGATCCTATTCGACTACTTTAGGTGACGGCAGGTCTACCGTCACCACCTCTACGGCTGGTAAAAGCGAGCAGAGCGCCGTATGCACATCGTGCGCTTCGGTGACCCCCTTCACGTCCACTACTACGACTCGTGTTACAACTCCCACTACGATAAGGTCCACGAGCACCATGAGTGTAATCACGCGCACAATGACAGTGACCTCGGGAACGTCGACCTCACGTGTCAGCACAGTCGTGTATCGCACCACAGTAACAGAAAAGTGAAGAGGTCGCAAAGGGGTAGTTGTCTCTCTATCGACGTCCTAACTGTTACTTTTATCTGTCCCTGAACAAACGCCTGTTACTGGTAACCCCCACCAAAATCCCTTGTAACACCAGTTACCTGTTTGCTTGATCGATCACTTTCCTGTAACGTCCAGCGTCGCGACTACGAGGACTGTCACATTTACAAGAACAATTGTCGGCACGACGATAAAGGTAAATTTATAACCCGTCATTTCACCTCATCGCGCAAGCAGCTGATACCGAATCGCCGCAGACCACAGTCACCAAGACACTTAGCCCCACGTCCACCACGTATTCGCTCATTGGTGCGGCCGCTTCTCCAACCTTCTACATTGCCAACATAGATGTCACACGCGGACAGGTTCCCTCTGGCGTTCCCGTTTTCGACTATGATTGGCATTGGTTAACCCAAGATTACAACAAACAAGTCGCCGGCGGCAACGTACTCAAGTTCGTTCCAGGGCGTCATACGCCGCCTTCCGGCACCGAGCGCTTCATCTTCTATGTCAACCCTAGTGGAACATCACTCACAGGAACGCTGTACAATCTACTTGGCAACAAGGTGGCCGGCGAGAATCCGATCGAATACACCTACCCAAACGGGACCAAATATCGATATTACGAAGTCGCCCTCTTCAACGCACAAGCGCCTGCTACCCTATCTATCCCTACCGTGGCGTGCAGGTATTCGGGTGCACGATTCAGTTTGTGTCCGATGCGGTGTTGGTGGACTGGTGATGGAAACGAGACGACCAGCAACAGTGTTAGTCAGGGCTCTATCAACGGCCCGTGGTATCTTGCGAAGCCCGGACAAGTCAGTCAATCTACTTATCCTCTTTATGCGATCAATTGAGAGATGCGAGGGAATGTATTTAGCATTGAGTTAGTTCTATATTCTTCCTTTCAGCGTGGTTGCGACGCCGAGATCGCGAAGCTCATTCCTACTACCTTCCGCCTTCTTTCTTACCTTAACTGTTGTACCACCTCTTACCTCGACTGAACTCATGATGTGTACACTTTGAAATACATTCGCATGATTGGCGTTGTTTCGACTATTGGAGCCAAGACAGGAGGCATTCGACACTGAATTGGTTTGGCCAAAATTTGATGGCGTGAGATTTGCTTGCCCCAAATCGTCCAGGTTCCCGACTCCTGGCCGTCAGTGAAGCAAAATGGCGTAGAAAGGCGGTGCATGCTGATGCTGACGAGCACTTAACTCGGCTGCTGTGTGCTGGACGAACTCTAATCGCCTCGGGTAGCGCCGAAGTGGCTTGGCGACGCGCTTCGTCGCGTTTCCCTGCTAGCCACCCGTGTTTACCAGCCACTCCAACCACGCACTTTACCACAAATTCAGGGCGAGGACAGGTCGGTGACGAGGCCGCAAAGCGCAGTGCGTCGACCAAGAGATGGCGGGAGACTGAGCAAACCCACAATAAGTATATGCAGGCACGACGGTGTCTCTCTCCTTCCTTGTCGCACTATACATCCTCGCAACATTCCTGCCTCGTCCATTGTACAGCAGCAGAACTTACTCCAGCAGCTTCTTCACAACTGCAGACATTCACGACAGAGATCCACAGCAGTATACGCAGTGCCCTCCCGGCATGCTTACACTGAATAACCTCCTCACCATGCGGTCCTCACTTCGCATCGCCGCAATTACCACCATCGCTACACTCATATCACCGGCAACAGCACAAACATGGTCGCATTGCAATCCAACAGTACAATCCGGCTGTGCGCCCAATCCAGCACTCGGTCGAGCAATCACTATCGACTTCGCTGATGGCGCATCCGACCAATTCACTGCTTCAGGCAATCCCGAATACAACTCAGACGGTGCAGTCTTCACAGTCGGCGGGTCAGGGCAAGCACCAACACTCAGCTCGAAATGGTACATCATGTTCGGGAAATACTCAGTGACATTGAAGGCCGCTCCTGGCGTCGGTATTGTCAGTTCAGCAGTACTTCAAAGCGACACCCTCGACGAGATCGACTGGGAATGGTTGGGCGGAAAAGCAGGCGAAGTTCAGTCAAATTACTTTGGCAAAGGACAAACGACAACATACGATCGAGCCGCTGTCCACGCTACCGACAACACACAAAGCGAATTCCACACGTATACGGTCGAATGGACGAAAGATCAGATTGTTTGGTCAATCAACGACAAGACAGTCCGCGTGCTCAACGCTGCCGACGCTCAAGGACAATTCCCACAGTCACCGATGCAGCTCAAGCTTGGCTCTTGGGCTGGTGGAGATCCGTCCAACAACGAAGGTACCATCTCGTGGGCTGGCGGTGCTGTCAATTACGCAGCTGGTCCTTTCTCGATGTACGTCAAGACGGTGTCCATCGTTGACTATTCCACCGGCAGTGCGTACAGATACGGCGATTCGAGCGGTTCGTGGGAAAGCATCGAAGCGACTGGCGGCGAGGTGAATGGCAACTCCGGTGGTAGTGTCACCGTTGCAAACGCTCCTGCCATCACGTCGACAGTTCAGGGTAATGAAGGTTGGAGTGGAACACATGCGACGAACACGGCCACTGTCTCGTATACCACCCTGCCTGGTCTGCCGTCTGGCTGGACCATCAGTGGTTCGGGCAAAGTCGTTCCTCCGTCGGCAGCCCCAGTGAGTAAGATCATTCCAGTGCGCCCTTGCGTGATTGCAATGCTGACATTTGTTCTAGTCGCCGTCCCCACTCGGTTTATCATCGCCATCGCAGCCTGCGTCTGTAGCGGCAGCATCGCCCACGCCCTTAGGTGGTGAAGCTGGTAGCCCAGTCACGAAATACAACGATCAAGGCTTCCTCACGACGGTTATCATTCCGGCTGGCGCCTCAACCGGCTGGGATGAAAAAGGACTGCCAACCAAATATCTTGCTGGTGCTCAGGTGACACCGTCCGCTGCGCTCAAGCTCAAGGCGGTGACTGGCACGACCACTGGCCTTGCTACCCTCACCACAGACAACGGCAACAATTTCATCACGGCATCGGTGACGCATACTGGTAGCGCTGTGCGACAGTTGCCGTACAATGATCGGTACCTGGTTGCTTTCATCATCGCCGGATACTTCATCGTGGCCTGTTTGCTGGCGTGTTAGTTGATGCACTGCATACACAGGCCGCACAGATTGGGCCGCTGACGAAGTCTGGACTTCGTCCTTCTTTTTTGGATGATTGTTTTAGCGGCATAGCGACAGGTTGCATTGAGAGGAGTGGATACTTTACAGACCAACAGAGTCATGAATTGGGTAATGAAGGGGTAATGAAAATTGAACGACAACGCTCGTGGACTGGGCATGGAGACGCTGCAACGAATAATGTGCATAGACTACGCAGAAATCAGATGATCATGAGACTCCAATGCTTGCAAAGACTTCTCCGCAAAACGCCAACGCTCCACGCCATTCTCCAATATGGCGCAGCTCGGGACCCCAGACCAACCGTGCCAACGACTTCGGAGGCTTGTGACGATATGCGACTAGGGTCCCGGCCTGCCACGGCGTGCATGACCGAGCTCACGTTGTCAGTTCTTGTGCTAACGACGACGCTTTGCCATACCGCTCCAGGCCCAGAAGCCGTGCGGACTGAACGGACAGTACGCCAACGGCGGTCAGGCAGAGCACGAGACGCTGACTGCTCTGCCACAACGCCCCGATGTTCGGTGCGCGTGAACCAGCTGACCCAACAGAAATAGTCTTACGGCTCTCAGGCGTTCACGTGGCTGTATGCGAAGAGGTGGCGCCCTGCCGATCCGGGGCTAGCCAGGTACCAAAGGGAGTAAAACGTAAAGCTCCCAAAGCCGCCCACAGCCGAGCGCTGATGTTAAGTAAATTTTACCCCATCGTGCATGAGGACGGGTATTGCGTTATTACTGCTCTTGTCGTCGTGAGAGTATAGAAGAAGGCGTTGCAGGAAGCGTGAGGTGAGGTATTATCTGTCCTCAAAAGCGTTTCATTTTCCCTGCAATCTTTCTTCCCACCAGACGATAAGCCCGTCCTTATCGGCAGCCAATGCAAAAGGTGAGTCTTGAAACGGACACTCCGAACACGGTGCTCAGCCTCCACGATGATCGTGGCGGCGGCTGTCAGAGCGACGACGGCAACGTCAAGTGAAAAGTCGCCTCACGACAGACGCCTTCAGATTCAGAGCCACGCGCGCCTGTCTGCGGCTGACGTTGCTGGTTGACGAATCGAGCTGAAAAGCCAGAGATTCACCGCGAGCTTCCTTTTGTCACCATGAGCCGCCAACCCTCTGCGGGCCAGCAGTCTGACCGCCTTTGCAGTTCCACTGAAATTCCTCACATTCATACACCCGACATGGCGACAGATCAGCTCAACGGCGACGCGCCTGCCACCAATGGCACTGCTCCAGCACCACAGAACAAGCTGCTCGACAATGTCGTGCGGACGCCTGGCCGCCAGCCGTCACCACAGCCCACACATCTAGGCCTTCCAGGAGCTCTACCGCACCGAATCGTGCACGACAAGGGCTCTGGATATGTCGCTCCCAAATTCGAGGGCAAAGAGCACCAGATGGAGCAAGTCATGGACGTGATGGAAGAGAAGGGCTTCATTCCTGCTGATGTCGTGGAAATCGAGACCAAGTGGTTCTACAATGAGCTTGGTATCGATGACATGTACTTCAGCACCGAGACTGTCGAAGCGATCGTCAGCCACGTTCACTCGCTATACGCAGCGAAGATCGCAGCTTTCGCAAGAGACGACAGGAAGCTCGAGATTCGTCTTGAGAAGGAAGCAGCAGATCACGCTGTGTACATTGACACCAGTGTTCCTGGTCTGTCTTCGATCGATGGCTCAGGCTTCGAGACCAGGCTAGAGAGCAAGTACCTGGATGGCAGCAGAGGCTTGAACAGCTACAGAGTTGAGTCATTCAGATCACCCAGCAAAATGCCTGGCGGAAACAACGACCAATCGCTGCGCTGCTACTTCGTCTACCAAGCGACGTTCAAGAACAAGACACCAAATCCCGATGAGACGAGAGTGGAAGAGCTTGGAGATGAGAGGTTCCTGCAAAAGACCACGGCCAACACACGAGAGATCTACCAGAGCGTCATGGATGCCGTGGTCCGACGAACAGGTCCTGTGATAGACATGTACGATGTGGAGGGCACACGAGAGAAGCGTCTCGTTATTGGCTTCAAGCAGGGATCTGCTTTGGGCTTGTTCGCTGCTCTGAGTGATCTGTACCACTACTACGGCTTGACATCTTCAAGAAAGTACGTGGAGCAATTCAGCAACGGCATCACAATCATGTCAGTCTACCTGCGACCTGGACCTCCATCGATCGCCGCCAAGCACCCACCCATCGAGGCCAGTATCCACCAAGTCATGAAGGAGGTCTCACTTCTGTACTGCATCCCGCAGAACAAATTCCAGACACATTTCAGCAGTGGACGTCTCTCTCTGCAGGAGTCCGTATACGCTCACTGCGTCTGGGTCTTCGTGCAGCATTTCTTGAACAGATTGGGCAGCGAGTACAACACGCTTCGATCATTACTTGACGTCAGCAACAGCGTCCACGCAGAACTTCTCGGCAAGCTGAAGAAGAGGCTGCGTACTGAGACTTTCACTGCAGACTACATCTTGGAGATCATCAACCAATATCCGGACCTCATCAGATCTCTGTATCTGTCCTTCGCCAACACCCATTATGTGCAGACTCGTGGTGAGCAAGACGACTTCTTGCCAACACTCTCATACCTCCGCATGAAGATCGACAAGGTCTACACAGACGAGGAGCTCAAGACTTTGATCGAGAAGACGGTGCAGAATGATCATCATAGCATGGTCATGACTGCTTTCCGCATCTTCAATCAGTCGGTGCTGAAGACCAACTTCTACACACCCACCAAGGTGGCACTGAGCTTCCGCTTGAACCCATCATTCCTTCCACCTGAGGAGTACGCGCAGCCATTGTACGGCATGTTCCTGGTCGTCAGCTCAGAGTTCCGAGGTTTCCATCTCCGCTTCCGAGACATCGCTCGTGGTGGAATCCGCATCGTCAAGTCTCGCAGCAAGGAGGCGTACGCTATCAACGCGCGATCTCTCTTCGATGAGAACTACAACTTGGCCAACACTCAACAACGAAAGAACAAGGACATTCCTGAAGGTGGCAGCAAGGGCGTGGTTCTGCTCGACATGGCACACCAGGACAAGACGACAGTTGCATTCGAGAAGTACATCGACAGTATCATGGATCTGCTGCTACCACCCACAAGTCCTGGTATCAAGGACCCTATCGTGGATTTGCACGGCAAGGAGGAAATCCTCTTCATGGGTCCTGATGAGAACACTGCTGATCTTGTCAATTGGGCTACGGAGCATGCACGTGCTCGTGGTGCGCCTTGGTGGAAGTCGTTCTTCACTGGCAAGTCACCCAAGTTGGGCGGCATTCCTCACGACACCTACGGCATGACGACGCTTAGTGTTCGCGAATACGTCAAGGGTATCTACAGGAAGCTCGAGCTCGATGAGACTCAAGTCCGCAAGCTCCAGACTGGTGGTCCAGATGGTGATCTCGGCTCGAACGAAATCTTGCTTGGTCGCGAGAAGTACAACGCTATTGTTGATGGCGCTGGTGTGCTGTACGATCCCCAAGGCATTGATCGCGATGAGCTGCACCGTCTCGCCAAGGAGCGCAAGATGATCAGCCACTTTGACATCTCGAAGCTGTCCAAGGATGGCTACCGTGTGTTGGTCGACGATAACAGCGTCACGCTGCCTTCAGGCGAGGTTGTCAACAACGGCACCTCTTTCCGAAACACTTTCCACTTGCGAAGTGCAGAGAAGTTTGACGTGTTCGTGCCCTGCGGTGGACGACCAGAGTCCATTGACTTCACGAGCGCGAGCAAGCTGATCGCCAACGGCAAGGCCATCATCCCATACATTGTCGAGGGTGCCAACCTCTTCATCACACAAGAAGCCAAGCTGCGTCTCGAAAAGGCTGGAGCAGTCGTCTTCAAGGACGCTTCCGCCAACAAGGGAGGTGTCACCAGCTCATCTCTCGAAGTCCTTGCATCTCTGTCTTTCGATGATGAAAGCTTCTTACAGAACATGTGCGTCCAGCCCGATGGCTCAACACCACAGTTCTATCAAGACTACGTCCGCCAGGTACAAGCGAAGATCCAAGAGAACGCTCGTCTCGAATTCGAGGCTATCTGGCGTGAGTCTGAGCAGACCGGTGTTGCGAAGAGCTTGCTTTCCGATCAACTCAGTCTTGCCATCACCAAAATGGACGAGGAATTGCAAGGCACTGAGCTTTGGAACAATCTGGCTTTGAGGAGGAGTGTGCTGTCTGATGCTCTGCCAAATCTGCTTTTGCAGAAGGTCGGACTTGATAAGATTATTGAGAGGGTAAGTCTTCACATTCAATCATACTTCAGGCGTGTTGGAACATAACTAACGTAAACTTCTACAGGTACCTGACAGCTACCTCCGCGCCATCTTCGGCAGCTACCTCGCCAGTCGCTTTATCTACACCATGGGCATCTCCGCTTCACCGGTTAGCTTCTTCGCTTTCATGAACGACCGCATGGCCAAGGTCAATGGTGTCACGGCATAGACGGTCACACTGGCTGAAATAGTATGTTGCATGTGTTGGTGTTGCTCTTTGAGAGGCGTTTCATGAGAAGTGGAAAAAGGGTTGAAATTGCGAAATTGTATCATGAGGAATGTGGAATGGATCGATAAACGAACCAATAAAAGCTTGGGAACGGAGTGTGAAAAGGGCGCTGGCGTTCTTGCTGTTTGCGGCTAATGAGAGAGGAACGCATTCCGATAAACAATGAGAAGCTGTCCGTGTTGATTGATAGAAGAAAGAGATGAAACTTGTGGTATCTTCGACGTTTCGTCTGGGTTCGTCTCCTTACATCTGAACACTTGTTGTTGTTTCTATTCTGTGACGCAGTGTATGTGAAGAAATCTTTGTGTTACTGATTGAGCTCCACTGATCAGTGACAGAGAGCCTCGCGACATCTGCCATAATGGCGAAAACTAAAGCAACCGCGACCACTGCTGCCAAGCCAGCAGAACGAGCTCCGAGCAAGCGTGTCAGAGACAACGCCCTCAAAAAGGAGGCCGAAGCCGCCGAGGCTGCAAAGAAAGCTACTGCAGAGGCGAAGAAGAAGGCTGCCGCAGATGAGAAGGAGAATGCGGCCGCAAAGAAGAAGACGACTAAGACATCTGTCAAAGATGCAGCACAGCCGACGAAAGTGGTGAAAAAGAAGAAGAAGGACGAGCCAAAGCCCACCAAAAGTACAGGGAGGAAGAGGCCGGCAAAAGCGGAATCCGAGCCTGAAAAGAAGCCTGGACCAAAAGGCAGAAAGAAGAAGAACGACGATGCCGATGAGACCGAGGAGGCTCCCGCTCTCACAAAGGAGACGAAGAAGAAGAAGCCTGCTACTAAGGTCAAACCTACAAAGGCTGCCGCTGCTCCGAGGAAGCCTGCTGCTAGGAAGACCAAAGCCGACCCTCCCGCTCCAGCAGTAGGACCAGAAGAGAAGAAGCCGACTACTCGCAAGCCACCGAGAGAGCGTGGTCCTCTGGCTCCCAAGTCGACCAAAGTGACCAAGAAGACGAAGGCCACAACTGCTGCCTCTAATAGCAGAAAGGGCGCCACCGCCAGGTCTCCAACGAAGTCTGCTTCACCAGAGAAGAGGACTAGTCAGGATTCTCTGCCCAGAGGTTCCTCGGGACGTCAAGCTTCTCCAGAGAAGAGGACGAGCCAGGAGTCTGTGAGGTCTAACCCGGGACCAAACGCTTCGCCTGCGAAGAGGAGCAGTCATACCTCGGGCTCTTCAGCGCACTCGGCACGTCAGGCTTCGCCAGAGAAGAGGACCAGCCAGGAATCTGCTCCGAGGTCTCATGCAGGATCTCATGCTTCGCCAGAGAAGAGGAACAGCAATCACTCGTCCACGCACTCTGGTCGCCAAGCTTCACCAGAAAAGCGTAACAGTAATGATACGGTGCAGTCGCACTCTGGTCGTCAAGGTTCTCCTGAAAAGAGGAACAGCAACAACTCCACGCATTCCGGTCGTCAAGGTTCGCCAGAAAAGAGGAACAGTAATAACTCTGGCTCCGGACGCCAAGGTTCGCCAGAAAAGAGGACGAGCCAAGAGTCTGCCGCCGTCAAGAGGGAGTCGAATTCGTCGAACCACAGTGCGAAGAGTAAGACTAAGAGTCCCGTCAAGGAAGGAGCGGCTATGATGTTGCAGGGTAGCGTATGGGCTATGAGGGATGGAGTGAATCAGGTGGCGAAGAAAGTTCAGAATGCCACGGCGTCTGATTCTTCGAACTCTTCGGATTAAAGGTCCTGCGAGGTCGCTGTAGAGGGCCGGGTACTGCATGGTACGGCTCTTTGCTACAGTTGGAGATGCCGGCGCGCGTTGACCCCGCTTGAAGACTCGGTGTGAGGGATGGATCGTCTTCTGATCAGTTGCTGCAGTCGACGCTCCTTTCGAGGAGGTGGCCAGGAGGATTCCTTTCTTGATCCCGTTCGAAGGTCATGCTGCAGAGGCAAGCGGCAACGGGACGACGTGCAAGTGGCTCGGATCTGCTGTTGAGATTGACTGATTTGTTCTCCGCTCATACGAACGCGAGCTCTTGTATCGGTGGATGTCTGGTAGTATCGATGAATGAGATGGGTTTCGTATGTCGGTTTCTTTAATAAACTGGTAGCTGATCAATACCTGAATAATGTTTACTTGCCTTCGCGTTCCTGCCGCCCCGCTCAAGTGAAGTCGTCCAACGGTCGTTGTAACGAAACAGACCTCACGTCATGCCTGCATGAGAGTTTACTTGACGTTGTTTGGAAGTCGTCGTCTCTTCCTTTGCTTCGACAACCACGACAACAACCATCGCGCCGGCACCGCGCGATTTCGCGCAGATCAAGCAGAGAAGGTAAGTACACCTCTGTTTCTTTACCTCATCACTTGTTCTTTTGGGCGTTCAAGCGACGGCGGCGGCGGCGAAAAGAGGTAAAATTGAGACCATCGGTGATTTGATCACTGGTGGTGACCAGCGGACACGCTGTTTGAGATGGCGCACGACGTGTGACAACTCAGCACGACGCACGCGGCGACGTTTCGCGTTCGCTCTCCAAACTGGGCACGGCGGTCGGTGGCATGCGACAATCCGGCCTCAGCAGACGGCTGGTCCGCACTTGTCAGAGAACGCAGGCGAGACGACGAGAACAAGAAGCACAGGAATAGAAAGAAGAGGTCGGCGAGTGAGTGTCGGCAATACAATCAAGCGGAAAGGAGCGAGGGCAGGAGCTCTCTCTTCCGAGCCAACGCGGCGATTGTGCCGCCCGGCCGGGCTGCCTGTCACGACTTCGACATTTTGCGACTGCGCATTGGACCCAACACACCACGCCCAAGCCTCACGAGACATCACCGACTCTGACCGCAGCCCACTCTCCACTCCCGCCTGCGCTCCTCTCATCTACTCCCCGCCCACCTCGCACCTCCTGGCCCTCCGCAGCACAAACTCCTTCACCACCGAGGCTGCTCGCGAACAGCGCATACCGATGATAGCAACCACCTAGCCCACCTGCTCTCCGTGCCCGATGCGTGGTCCTTCAGCGTCTCCGATGTTCCTATAGGCAGAGAACTAACCAGCGTCCGCCCAGTATCACTTGCCGAGCATCCATCATGGAGAAGAAACAGGACGAGGTCGAACCGAAAGAGGAAATCTTCCTCTATGGCCCCCGCTCATGCCTCTCGCAGGCTGTCGTTGCATCATTTATAGCCGGAGGTGTGGCTGGCGCCGTCTCCAGGACTGTAGTCTCGCCCCTCGAACGACTGAAGATTCTCCTCCAGGTGCAGTCTACTGGGCGCACCGAGTATAAGATGAGCATACCAAAGGCGTTGGGCAAGATTTGGAGAGAGGAGGGTTTCAAGGGAATGATGGCAGGAAACGGCACGAACTGCATAAGAATCGTGCCATACAGTGCTGTACAATTTGGCAGCTACAACTTGTACAAGCCGGTATGTTGGCCTGGAGCAAAGTTTGAGAGTTGCGCTAAATTCATCTCTAGTTCTTCGAGGAGACTCCAGGCGCCCCGCTCCCCCCGGAACGACGATTGCTATGTGGCGCCGTTGCCGGAATCACGTCGGTGACATGTACCTACCCACTGGATATTGTCCGGACTCGTCTCTCCATTCAGACAGCGTCGTTCGAGTCACTGAGTAAGGAGGCGGCTGCGAAAGCACAAAAGAGGCAGCCTGGAATGTTCGCAACTATGGGGATAATGTACCGCACAGAGGGCGGTTTTTGGGCTCTCTATCGGGGCATTGTGCCAACAGTGGCTGGCGTGGCCCCATACGTTGGCCTGAACTTCATGGTGTACGAGAGCGTACGCCAGTACTTCACACCCGCTGGCGAGCAGAACCCCTCACCTCTGGGGAAACTGAGCGCAGGAGCCATATCTGGAGCTGTGGCACAGACCATTACCTACCCATTGTGAGTAATTGGTCAAAATTTGGACAGGGGATATGAAGCTAACAATGAAACAGTGACGTACTGAGGCGCCGTTTCCAAGTGAATTCGATGTCTGGCATGGGTTTCCAGTATACTGGTATCATCGACGCCATCACGAAGATCGTGAAGCAAGAAGGCGTCAAAGGCATGTACAAGGGAATTGTGCCTAACCTCCTCAAAGTCGCACCCAGCATGGCAAGCAGTTGGCTCAGTTTCGAGCTGGTCAGGGACTATCTCGTCACACTGCGGCCAGAGGTCGACCCAGACGACAACCCACCGATCGGAGGAGCAGCGAAGTGAGAGACGAATCGGACGACACAATAATAAAATCAAGGCGATGCACATTCAGCAAACGCCATATCGAAAGCCCTCGATGAACTGAACCATGGACATAACGGCGCAAAAAGGGAGGCTTTTCATTCTGGAACCAAGGAGGTCTGTGATGCATAGTAGAGGCAAACGGGAGCGCAGGCGTTTCGGACTTTTCGGCGGGTGTGTGATGAGTGGCGTGCTTAGCCAGTATGCGACCCACATCATGCCTTAGAGCATTGGGAAGGAGGGCGGCAAAAGAGAGAAAACCAGAGGAGAGTGCCGACTACTAGAGAGCCCTACTGCATAGCGCTGCGCGATTGCTTGGATGCGCTGTCGCATAGATGTACAGTATACGTGAAAATACCAGTGTGTACTGAGACAGGGTAATGCCAAATGCTTTGCTTTGTGCTGCATGCTTCCTCCTTTGGCAATTCGTACTATACACGGCATGTGATATGAACGTGCTGTCCTTCCAAGTCTTGCGCAAGGCTACGCTGTGAAGCAGTTTGCCATTTTTTGTACAAGTTCTCTTCATTAATCATCGAGCTGAGATCTGTAGTATGTCTCCCACATTCTTTGGGATACTTCCTTTCCTTTGTACCCACAGGTAACCTACCTGTGCACAAACCCGTCCCCAACGCCCTCGCCATGCATCGAGCATGCAACCTCTTCCTTCCCTCAGAACCTTCGGTTGCCTTCCTCCCAACCACTCAACCCATCGCCATAACCCTCAATCACAACTCCCATCCCTCCACCCCGTCCTCCACCTCTCCTCCCAAAACCTACAATCAAACTCCTTCTTCCCCAATTTCACATTCACCGCATTATGCGCCTCACACATCCACTGTCCAAATTCTTCTCGATTACTGACTTTAGGTTCGTTCCCTGAAGTGCTCATCCAAGTTCGAAAGTCTTCGGCGCAGACCCAGCAGGGGTAGAGTTTACTGAATAATGAGAGGAATTGTTTGGTTTCGGATTGTTGGGTTGGTGAGGGTCGGGTGGGGTAGGAGGCTGTGAGGGTGTGGAGGAAGGTCCAGGTTGAGCGGCCGAGGAGGTCGACGTCGGGGGGGCAGTCGGTGCGGGGTTGGGTGAGGGTGGAGGGGGTGGTGGTTGTGGATGGTGATGAGGTTGTGGAAGATGGTGTTTTCGGAGTCGATTTCATCATTGCGCGCCATGCGGCGCCGGAGGTGCAGGTTTTACATCTTGATTCCAATCAGCCTACAGTCCTAATTGCAACTACAGCTGCTGCGCAAAATATAGCTTACGGTTTCCCATCAGGCCCGAGCACCACGCCCTTAGGTAATGTTTGCGATTTCTCTGCTTCATCTGCTCGTATTCGTTGTTCGGGGCTGGCGTCCAATGGCTGCGGTGGGAGACCGGTCATGTTCTCTATCGTACAAAAGAAATACTGCAGAATGGGAAAGTCGATTTGAGTCGTCGGCATACTACTCTCATCATGCCCTTGTCGCCGGAGGCCAGGCTTAGAAATCCATCGAATCGATGGCTAGTGGAAGAGCACGGTCGTTGGAAGCCTGAGGTCATCGTCAGTCGCTCGGAGCGGTCCTTCCCTAGCACCAGGCAGAAATAAGGTTTGGCAGGGGCGAGGACAGTTCTGTAGGGCTGACTGCACATGTTGCGATCGGAGAACATCACAAGAGATGATACTAACTATTATGTTTGCGATGATTTACGTTGCTCAATGATGCTCTAGCAATGCGAGGTTGGCTATCTATCAATCAACAACTGACTCTTCCTCGCACCCTCTCCTTATAGGTGCGTTGTCAGCAGTGGCTTTGTGGGCTTTGCGAGTCGTTCGTAGCTTAGTCTGGTCTTCGGTCAGACGCGGCCAGCCGTACTTGGAGTTCACGCATGCGATTCACGGTCCACCGACAAAATTGGCAGGACATTCATCACTGCAGGCCTGGAACTTGTTTTTATAACCACCACTATTGAGGCGATTTGAGCCATTGCGATTCCTTATCTAGCCATTGCTGGCCGACCACTTTGATTCAGAATTCCCACGAGATATACTGCCTCGCAGCACTCTACACTGGATCATCTCCCTCAACCCTCTGATCTGGAGCGAGGGGCGAGACGTCGATGCGTCGCGCGTACTCGAGCGGGCCGCCAGGCCTAAAATCGGCGTTCTTAGATTTGACTTGAAGTTGATAGGAAGCTGATTCAGCGTAATAGCTAAATAAGAACCCCCAGTGGCTGTCTGGTAACATCCGATTTGCACTCATGTTTGCGCATGAACTATGTGCCGCGACTTGCTAGTGCATGGAGGCAGGATCATTGAAGATCAGATGATAGTGATCCTATGCGCCTCTCCCAGTGAATCTCCTTCGGCTGGTGAAAACGCCGGCGGGTCCCTCGGCGCAAAGATGTAATAGCGTACGACTGCTATGGCCTGAAAAATTAATTTCTCCCCGGCACAGCTCCGTAATATTAGACATGGATCCCTATAGGATCTATACTCCGGGGGCAGGCTGTAGAAGTAGTCACTGCTCTCGAAAGTCTGGCTGAGCCTGCTTTCATCATAGCCAGAATAGAGCGATGACTTGGCCTTCTCGCCCAGTTGGCCGCAACACCACAGGTCAATTGTCATGCTGCAATCGCCGAACGCGACTGTGACGTTCCGGCCAGCGGCGCGACACTTCTGCTCAAGAGCAGCAGCGTCTTTTCTTATGCCTGCAATGGAGTCGTTTTCCGCAAATGCTTCACCCTGAATCTCAAAGGATCTAGGCCGCCAGTCAGGTACCCAACTAGGCATCGAAGAGGTCAGCTCAGCATCTTTGCGGCCCAAGGCAATTGTAAGAACGTTCCAAGCGCCATTGTATCCATTGAGAATGACATAGTCGCGAGCAAAATTAGTGAAAACCGCCTGCCAATCCAGTTTGTAATCGATCTGAATACGTGGACAATCTCCGTAGAGCTTAAGTAGACTGCTGATTGCATAAATGCGATCTCGTTCATCCGAGCACAGCAAGCCTGAACAGTCGGTCAACTTGTTCAAGGTGTGCTCTGAGCCTTTCGTGATCGCGCGAAGCTTACAGACTGTAAGCTCAGGAAGTGCTCTGCAATGATTGATGTAAGCCCTGTAAATCGACCACGGAATTTCGGAGCCGCCACACTTGACTATTACATTGTCCGCTAAAGCGACTTCCTGTACGCACCAAAGACGGGAGAAATAACGTCTTGAGCCAAACAGATCGAATTGATGAGCTTGCTCGGGAGTTGGCCGTGAGAGTAGTGGCTGCATAGCATAGATATTCCAGGAGAGCTGCCAGGTAAAACTGTTTATTGGCGATGCCCTCACGATTTTCAAGCAAATGCGTTCCACAATTTTGATCCACGTCCTTCTCCACATGGAGTTCACGTTTTTCTCGTATTTGCGACAAGTCGCGAAGACGAATTGTCCGTCGCAATAGATGGAATCCTCGCCAAGCCATACGATAGTCTGACGTGCATGCGCGAAAACCTGCGCCATTTGGGCGACCTGAGCTGAACGCTCGTCAGGGTTGTCTTGATTGATACACAAAGCATCGATCCAGAGACTTCGATCGTTTCCGGAGTGGCGCAATCTTTTCAGTGCAGCATCGAGATTAGCTGCTGTGGTTAATGTAGAATTGCATAAACTTATTTCGCCGTGCTTGGAAGGTTGGTCCGAGAATGCACGGTCGAGTCGCATCCTGTCCTCGTCTGCCTCAATCCAGGCTGTTGACTTCTCGTCGTTGACGAAAGTGTTCCCCCAGGTATAAGACAGAGCCTCATATTGTGTCCCGTCATTCAGATGTACGATGTCGAGAGTGCCCACGAGAGGGTCTTCTAAGCGTGGCGCTGGTCGAAGTTGCAGGATGCGAATGCAGCCTGGTGCTAGTGGGCTGTAGATCGGAGAAGTCTTTGGCTGAAAGGATGGCAGCGTTTCTGCTTTGCGTGCGTCTGACTTGGCGTTTTCTGCATTTGGATGCTGTCCCAAAATGTCATCAGGCAGTGTATCTTGGATCGCGGTTCTCAGTACTGGAGACTGTGTCGCCATGTTGTAAAGAGGCGAATGGCGCGAGCAAAGAGAGAGGATGAGCCAGCCGGTCAGGAGGAAGGAAATGTGCATGAAATACATGTAGATGAAGCATGTCAAGGTTGTGTAACGACACAGCTTCAGCCTCGCAGCGCAGCTCCAGGGCTGCGTGGCTGCGCGATCTCGCGTCAGACTGCTTCATGTGTCGCGAACACTCGATTCCCAGCGTTCTCAGGTAATTGCCCATGGAATCAGTACGCCGCGCTTTTCAATATGCCACGGCCATGCTGTTCAGTCCACGCACCGCATCGCCAGTCGTGCAGCCTTTTGAGGTCTTCCATTTCCAAGTCTCATACAGTCTTGGCTGATGACAAAGGACATGGAGGCAGAAGTACGGCTTGTGAACAGTACAGCATCTGGCTGACCATTTGCGGATGGTGGAGACCGCATGTCGGAGTGTGCCGACTGCCTTGAATACGTGTTTGCTGCCACGACTGGCTACAAAACAACCATGTTCAGATGAGAGTCCCTATTTTGATCTGAACGATATCCGCTCATCAGCTCATATTGTATTCCCCGAGAAATCCACGGGCAACGATGGTGTTGCTGTTCTGTTGAGGTCGCATGAGGCTGGCGCGCGCAGATCTTGCGCGTGCTCAGATATAATCTTATGTGATATGGCTCGAATCGACTCAAACAGAAGAAAAGATCTTTCGGCGCTTTAAGAGCATCGTAGCAAATGTAAAAACAGGCGGAATGGCGCTGAGTGTGGATGTGGATTTGGCAGAATGATGCGCCTGAGGCCAATCTCAGCGTGCCGTGCCGTGCTTGCCTAAACCCAAAAAGATCAAGGTTTTGGCAGGGGCCAAGAAGCTCCATAGGGCTGTAGTCGAATCGAGGTCCACCGCCTTGACTTCACCTTCACGTCCGCCGAAAAGCAAGAAAAGCCATCTCCGAACTCACAAGAACAAGCCAAAATGGACGACATAACATCTTCACTTCAGAACCTGCAACTCAACCAAATCCCGATCTACCTCCTCAAAACCCCCTCATCCCCATCCGACAGCTACCAAGAACACTTTTCCCAACTCACCAGCAAATCCCAAAATGACAAAGAGACCACATCCTTCAAACCCCTCTTCGTCCCCGTCCTCGAACACATTTTCCGAGACGACGCCCTCCGGAACATTAAACGCAGTGCCGAACGTTTCGCCTTCGCAGGAGGTTCACCCGCCACAGCGAGACAAATCGCAACAAACAACCCCGCCAAACGCTACGGAGGGTTAATCTTCACATCCCAACGCGCAGTAGACGCTTTCGGGACTGTGATTGCGAAGCTCGATCCCGCGAAATTGGAAGCTCTTTTCGATCCCGAAATGCCAATCTACGTTGTCGGACCTGCAACGAAGAAAGGCGTGGAAGCTCTTGGATTGCCATGCCCCATTTCAGGCGAGGAGACCGGGAATGGAGATGCTTTGGCGGATTTCATTCTACAGCACCATAATGATTCGGCGAAAGTGCCCAGCCATGTTTCAAGCTTGAACGGGAGGAAATTGCCTTTGTTGTTCTTAGTCGGAGAGCAGAGACGAGATGTGATCCCGAAGAAATTGCAATCAGAAGATCTATCTCCCACAGAACAGATTCAAGTTACGGAGTTGGTGGTGTATGAGACGGGAGAGATGGCGACTTTCGAAGAGGAATTTACGGATCTGATCCAGCAGGCGAAGAAAGTTGGAGTCAAGGAGCAGTGGGTTGTGGTGTTTAGCCCGCAGGGCTGTGAGGCGATGCTGAATGCTTTGGGGTGGCTGACTGAAGCTGGGAAATATAGTGCTGGGAGGAGAGAGGCAGTGGAGGGACCGATGAAGACGAGGATTGCGACGATTGGGCCTACGACTAGGGATCATTTGAGAGGGCAATTTGGATTTGACCCAGATGTCTGTGCAGAGACGCCGACGCCTGAGGGAGTGGCGGGAGGCATCGTGAAGTTTCGGGCCGCGTGAGGAGGTCTTCGTCGCTCGTGCTGACTCTGCTGAGTTGGCACTTCTGTGAGCATGAGGAGGTTTGTGGCGTGGCGAGCAGCATCGCATTCAAAAGTCAAGATACCCAGATACATTTTGTTGAGCTGGAGATATTCTATACGATATCATACGTGAATATGGGCAGTGCTTCAATGACATTAACTCGTGCAATATCACTTCCTTGTCCTCGAGCCTCGCTTTGCACCCCGTTGGCAGAAGGTACATGTGTTCATACTTTAGACAGCGCTCTGCAACACGATATCTCCTCTTCACCATGCCAAGAAGCGGAGATATCATCCCTCTTCAGAGAAGGATCGTCTCCAGCAGAGGCCTTCTTGAGATGTACTTGCATCTCGGACAAATCTCTGCGACAAGATGTTGTGCGAAGCTAAGCAAGTAAGCAGTGAGGCCTCTATCGACTCAGAGAAATGCATGCTCTACGGCGATTGCCGTGCAACCAAATCTTCACCATCATCCGAGTGCAATCGTTGCATGAACGTGTCAACTCAAGTTTGCCTGCTGCTAGAATCTGCGACGTTCGACGAGCGTGCCTAGCACTCCACTGTATTCGCCCACATTGTTCCCATCTTACCTGTGGCCTTCATCACTGCGACGTTGTTGTCCTCTGGTGCCCTCGACTTGCGACTGTCCATCTGCCAGATTCCTTGTGGTCGCAGTGTTCCTCACCTGACCTGTCCATGACGTTCTCCTCGACTCATCGCTGTCTGCTTTTGCTGTGCCGCGCGGTGATCGAATCGGGTTGAGGCACAGAAGGATCGTGATAGGCGGGCATGCCAGGGACCGATCGGGATGTGACTCAGTTTGGACTAACGGTCGGCGAGGAGTTTCGAGGCTGTGCAGGCATGCCTTCGGCGAGAGAATAGATCTGGCGCGGATCGTGTTGGCCTTCGGCGAAAGTCAGAGGTATGTTCGTGTCGTTGCCCGCTTCAAGATGCTGTCGCCCGCTTCAAGATGTCGTCCCCGCCGGCCATCGCTGTGCCGCAGAAAGTTTGGTCATGACTGTTGAGCGAAGTTGTCCGGACTCGAGTGGTTTCAGCGTTCGGTGAGGGCGAGGGCGACATAGTCAAGTATCTGTACTGATCAGCGAGTACCATGAATAGCGCTGGACACTGTCCGCGGTGAGCTTCGTGAGCTTCAGACGTCAAATTTGCATGACTGCGAGCTGTGCCAATTTCGCCGAGTCAGTTGTGCGCTGGAATTCGATTGCCGCCTCTTCTCCAACTCGAGGCCTGCTGGCGACGAGACTGATGAAAAAGTGAATTCGCGTCAGCCGGCGGTAGTGGAAGGCCAGCGACACGGTGCCTCTGGACATGAGCAAGCTCAGCGGCCCAGTGACTGGTTCAAAAAATAAGAATAATCTTGAATGTCACCG